AATTGTTTGGCTCTTTGGTATTTCTACGCTTTTGTCCGTGTTTTTCTGCGTCGCAAAACATGGGTCTTTCCCAAGCCGGTTGATCAAAAAAATGAAGAAAAGAAAAAAAAGGGGGGCATAATGGGACATAATGAACGTGTTATATAATCGCAGAGCACATCAAAGTTCAATGTTTGCCATTGAGACGCTTCTAGCACTATCATATCACTCTGTGATATTATGAAATGCGAGCGGGAATACGACTACGAATACGAAATCTTATCTATCAGCAGCGGGCACGAGTTTGGATGCTATATACCCGTATTCGGATTCCGAATCGGATTCGGGCTCATCAGCTACGTGGCCGGTCATACGGTGGCTCTTATCGCGGGGAGCTGGTAATTATTTGGCTATAAATAACAATAAAAACCTGATCATAAAACTCACTCACAGCGCACCCCTTATCACGATAATGATCGCTGGCCGGTTGGCTACCGTGTTTCTTCTTCTGTATTCCTCTATTTGTATTCCCCTATATCATTTTTGGGGGGGCGCGGAGAGCCCCCCTATGAGAAAAAACAAAAATCCAGTTCGAGTTTGAGCCTGTTAATGGAAAGTTTTGACTCGGACTTGGAAGTTTTCCCAGCGCCTTGAAACTCCGATTCTAGAGGTTACAAGCGGTCTCATGTTTTTCTCATTCACAAAAGAAACTCGTCAGCGATCAACAAAAGGAAACCCACAAACATAAATGTGATCCATATATATCTACATATGAATTCATATTGGATGTAAACAAGTTTTAGTTTTATTTTTGTCGCTGTTCGAGGCTTATGCAATGTTGGCTTGGGATTTTATCACTAAAGTGATGGCTATTTAATAGATTTGGCCAGAAAAAGGGTTCTATATGATATGATATTTATATAATATGATATTTATTAAGCTTAACTCTATAACAATAATATCTCCAGGATGTTTCATAATTAAATAAACCCAACAAAACAGCTTATTCCCCTAACCACCATCTAAATAAAGCCTTATCAAGTGTTATAATCCATTAAAATAATCTCAGCAATTGTTTATCTAGAGTGTTAAACTCTAGAATTTATCTAGCAGCCTTCCTCCAAATGTGGTTATAACATTACAATTAAAGTAAATATATATATAGGGCAGCCTTAAATTGTGTAATAAATAAAAGCGGGGATTAGAGCTAAAAAGCAGTGTGTGCGTTATAAAAGAGGTGAATAAGTGGCGCATTTTATCAGATATTATTCTCCTTATTTAATCATGCTATATAACGTATTCCGGGAAAATAAACGATTACGTGCAAACATGAATTTCAGTGAATTCTATAGTCTGAGCACGATTGTCAAGCCGCCTTTTTGCCCAGTTGTTGATATATATACTTTTTTTTAACCATCATCACATTGTGTTAACCAGTTTTGCTAACTTCTTTATCAGTTTTGGGGAGTGTAGTAGAGCAGTCTCTTCCCCAAAAAAAAAAAAATGCAAATCAAGACTAATTACAACCCGATGTCTAGATTCAAATTCACGATGGTGATGAAGATGGGCGCGCCTGTTTGCCGTGTTGCCAACTTTAATGAAGTGATAACAACACACAGTGTCCGGGGGCCAAGAAGACGCTCCAATTTGGCTTTATTTTTTGCAGCGATGCTAATTTGCAGTTTACATAAACTTGATTTGCCCAGTGTATTAACGAGACGGCAGTCAATATTTGCCCGGCCATTTGGCACTGGTCGTGCCAACGAGGATGCGACCACGGGGCGGATGAGTAATAAAGTCAAGCTGCCTGCGCTTTTTGTCTTCGGGCTGTCATTCAAGGCGAAGTCGTTGTGTAAACGATCCCAACACGATATCAACAACAGATATCAGGTATAGCTGCCATATAGCAGATATAGCAGCCGCAGAAGTCAGACGCTATTATCAGCATTGTGATTTTTGTTTCTGTTTTTGTTTTATATCCGCAACGTCAACAGCCCCAAAAAAAGTGAATAAATAAAATGTATTTACCTATGGGTAAATTATCAAAACAATCAAAAATAATATAAAAAAAAAAATGAATGTTTACCCAACAACAAGGTGCCAACTATATATAAACCCATAAGCTCCAATTTTTTCCTAGTCGAGTTCATAATTTAAGTTGCCGCCATTTTTTTATCGCTTTGTCGGCTATATTTTTGATTGATTAATGACCGACTATCTGAGAAACTCGTTCGTCATTAAGAACAATAATTCGGGTATTTGTTTTCATCTATTTTAAATGATGATTACTCCAGGGGTGCTCAATTTATGGCCATGTTTGCGAGTTGGAGCGTGTATTTATGGCCCAGTTCCTGATCCGCAAATTGATAATTTGAATGGCAAGAATTTATAGATTGTCATTCTAAGAATTTTTCTATAACAATAAATTATGTTTCTCAATTTAATGTATTAATTAATTTCCAGTTTGCCCTGACAATTGAAATCTTTAAACTACAATGTAACGCGATCAAGGTTTGTTAGTTCTAATATCAAGATGTTTTTCATCGTAATAAAGTAATTTGATTTTAATTAATTTTCAGTAATCAACAAAATTGTAAAATATTTCTAACAATTGTTATTAAGAATATTGATAGTTAAAATGACTAAAATTCCCATCGTTGAATATTCAGTTATGTAATTGTTTAGTTTATAGTTTAATTAAGCAACCAATTTTAATTGCCTGCAAAGCGTTGAATTAATTGCTCGGATATATATTTTTGGTTGGATAATTATAAAGCGGATAATTAAATAAGTCTTAATAAATCTGGTAAGTATAATCGTGTTCTATTGCCCATACCGTTATGAATTTTTTTACAATTATTGCCCGACGTATTGTGCCATAAATATTTCATAATTAAAAATAGAGTTTGATTTGTATCTGTGTTTGCCTGTGTTTGCTGCTCGATGTTTTTCTGTTTCGTTTTTTTTTTTTATTTTGCGGAAGTGCATTGATTTTCCACTCAAGTGGGCACTTGACTCGCCGCTGTCGTCATGAATTGATTTTCTCACCTTTATTTACTTAACTTTTTCAGCTTCTCCTCTCGCAGCGCGCGGAGCTCGAAAAATGTTAATTAGTTTTTTCCCCGGGCGGCCAGCACTTTTAATTAGAACTTAGTATTAGTATTTCTGTTTGTCAGCAGCGGCGGCAGTTGTTTCTAGGTGATTTGTTATCGCAACATTTATGCAAATTGCCATTGCAAGTGGGCAATTTGTGTGCGGAAATCCGCTTGCAACGCATCTTCATGCGACTTGGCTCTCGAAAAAAATTCGAAAAAAGCGCAAAAAGGCGCTTGTGGATCTCAGTGAAAGTTTTCTATGCTGTACTGGGGCGCCAGATGTGAGCTGCCTGCCATATAAGCCATATAAGATATATATATATTTAGGCCCCGTAAGCCACCGACGCCGATTGACAAGCTGCGCATGCGCGGCCATCGCTTAAATAACGCCCATGTCTCTGCATCACGCATGCCAAAATTCAAAATCCCGAATCCCGCCCGAGGCCTCCAAGTCCCCCCCGATCCCAGATCCCAAAAAGTATCTATCAGATACAACGCGTCACACTGCCATAGATGGGCGTGTGGGTGTGGACCACCCACAAAATGCCATTTGTGCCAAATTATCCGACATAACGAGGCGGGGTGTACGTAAGGGAATTCAACTGTCTGAGGTTTTCAAAACTGAACACGACCTAAATATTTCCTGCGATATCTTGACATGATCCAGTTAAAAAATGTCATTGATTAAAACCAGCTATGCTCTATCCTAGTAATTTACCCATAATATCTATGTTTTTATTTAAATAATATAAGTTTTTATCCCAGTATTTATTAAATACAGTATCTAGGATATGTGTTTATATCTTTATAGCTTACATTACTGTTAACATTTTCAGTGTCATTAACTGAAATCGCCCTTCATTTGAAAGTTGTTCACTTTCTTTAGTTGAAAGTCTCTGTAGGCAAGTGAAAAGTGATTATCGTAAGCTTGGCCACAAATAAATTGGGTGCAAAAAATTGGGTTGTAACACAAACTGGCCGTATTTCAACATTTTTTAGAGGGATTACTCAAAGCCCACACATAACTCAAATGTTTTTGTGTGAATAATGAATATGGCGAATATTTTAAGGAAATGTTGTCCCCAATAGCTAAAATACCCTGTATTGGATCGGTCTAAACCAACTTCTGCTCTAAACTTAAGGGGGGAACAACCCCATTTGCCACGCCCACTTGGCTTTCATTAGAATTGCCTAACAACTTCCACTTTTGCTTTGTTTGGTTCCATTTTATTTTTATTTCTATTTGGTTTTGTTTTGGGTCCCACTAAGCCGCAAAGTTTATGCAATTTGTTTATTTATATTTGCGCCAGCCAGTTGTTTTGGGGTCTTGGGTTTTTCGCCCCTGCAAATGAGTTCTCATTCTTAAGACGGTCTGTTGTATTTTCACAAAATGATTAATAGTGGCGAAAAATGTCTAAGTGCTTTGATTACTTTTACAGAATGGCAATATTGAGATAGGTTATATAAATGTATACGTTTTCTAAAGAATTTACTCTTATATAATTTGTTTATATTATATAATATATATTATATATTATCATGTACTGAATAAAATATTGTTATAAAATATTTTTAAATCAAGGAACGTTCTGGAACGTTTTCATAGAATTATATAACCCTATAAAAATGTCCTAAATTTGGCACTTGAAATATTTTTAAGGATAAAGATATAACTTTAGTTATATCCAACACATATAGCTTTTAGGCTTCATTATTATAGGAATTTACAAAAAAGTTTCAAATTTACGTAACACCTAAAATATTTAAGAAACCAGAAATTGTAATCTTCCCTTAAATTTGATGGAATTCGCTATTATTTTCGTATAATCTTGGTATAGGACCTTATAAACTAACACTCCTAAAAATCCTAAATGATCCCAAAGGCTAAGATCCTTATATTACCCTTAAATAGGCCCCTTGACTTACCGTTATTTGTGGATCTGCAACTCTTATACGAGAGAGCGTCTCCCAGGCGTCACTGTGTGTGTGCTTGTGTTCGCGTTGCGTGTGTGCGTGAGCGTGTGTGGACGGCCCAAAAAACAGGATGCGCTGCTTTGCCGCTTAACGAAAAAAAAATGCACTTCCGTCTTTTAATGCGTTCGCCTTTGTATGGGTGAGCGCGCTTTGGGATTCCTGAATTATGATATTATTGTTTTTAATTTGTTTATTGTTTTTTGGTTTTTGGCAATTAAATGTTATGTAATTGGACTTTGTCGCCTTCTTTCTTTTTTTTTTTTGTTCTGGACTTCGAAGCAGGAAGCTTAAAGAGGGGCTTTGGGGCGAATGGTTTACATTTCCGTTGGAAAAAAAATGGATCCGAAAAAAAAAGTCACGAGGATATACGAGGATCACCAAGAAAGTCACATTCAGCTAGGTATTTGATCTATTTAGTTATGGTGCGTTGGATTAATTTCGGAATTTGTTTTTTTTGGAAATTAAAAATTTTTTTTATTTCGTTTTTAACGGAGAGAGGGAAAAGCACACGACCAACTTGAAAACGCACTAAAACGGTATTAAAAGCCGAGACTAAAATTAACTTTGCAAGTAATTTACAAGCCGGAGCCGAAAAGCCGAAGTTGAAAAGCCCGAGCCGAAGTTTGCCGAAAGAGCGAGGCGTGAGAGGCGTGAGAGGCGCGAGAGGAGAGACGAGAGCGCCCGAGAGTTCACTTCACTTTTTGGCTTGCTGCTGTTGCTGTAGTTGTTGTTGTTGTTGTTGCCTTGTCTTGTCACAGATCGTTATTATAATTGTTGTTGTTGTTGTTGCGGGGGAGAGCGATGCGAAGAGATGCGATGCCCTTGTTGTTGTTGCTGCTGCTGCTGCGATGCCAGATAGTGGATAATGGCAAAAAATCAGCTAAAATCAGGTAAAATCAGCTGCTCGTTATCGCTCTCGAGTGTGCTGGTGGGCCAAACGTTGATCGCTGGCCGTTCGCTTGGGAATGATGTTGGCTTAAAGCCCGGCGCTACGTAATATACGCTCAGATCCTGTTTGCATGCCGTCGACGTCGCTGCCGGCGTCGCAGTCCGCTGCAGAAGAGAGCGACGCGAAGAGATCATCAAGAGGAGAGAAGAGCGAGCACAGAGATCACGAGCTTTTTTTTTTTTTTGTCTTACATTTCGGCCCACCTCGCACAGTGGGCCAAAAGCGGAAAATGCCAGTTGGCCGTTTGCCCAGCAAAAAACAAAAAAAATTGATTCAAATTGTTTTGGTAAACATTAGCCACTTGGCAATTTGCCTATTACGTTTTAACGAATCAAATATAAATGAAGAGCAAAATAACATGTTCACAAATATTACAAGAACCTATTTAAAGAATCGTAAGAATTTGAAGATCGCAAAGATCTTTCTCTTTCGAAAACGTATTTCGAATTTTACTGTCTTCTTTGAATTTCGTCAAAGAGCACCAGTATGTTTGACCAACCAAATTAATCTAATCAAATTGATTTGGTAAATATTTCCTAGCTGGCAAATTGCCTATTACGTTTTACAAATCAAATATAAATAATATAATAATGATTAATTTTAATCAGAAGCAGGGCCGTTCTGTTTTTCTTACATTTGCATGCAAATTAGTTGTTTGCTGCACAAATTAAACTTAATCAAAGTGATTTGGTAAACAGTAGCCACTTGGCAAGTGGCCCATTACGTTTTTTCACATCAAATATAAATAAAATGCCGAATGCCGTCAAAGGGAAAAGCCTTAAAAAATGTATTGAAAGGTAATATTTCACCCGATATTTGTTCAACCTGGCCTTGAATTTTATATATTTTATTTATTCTCTTAAATAATCTTTAATGCTAAGTGCATATTGAGTATATAAGAGCTTTGAATCATTTACAAACTAAATACTAAATACAAGAAATTTACTTATTACGAATGGTTCTGTTTATTTATAATTCACCATCACTATCCCTTGTTAGATAGATGAATATAGTTGTGAATGGCGAACACGTGCTGAGTACATTGCTATTATGTACATTATACAACTATTTAGAACACATTTCGTAATAATTATAATAATAATTTTTTGAACAATTTTTTTGTTATAATGTAATTGCGTGAATTGGAGTTTATGCACTTAGGCCCACTGTGCGGAAGTCGAGTTGTTGTTGTTGTTTCGCAGTTCGTCAGCCAATCGCTTCGAGCGGCGCTTTTCAACTTTCATTAGAAATTATCGGATGCCCACGCCACGCCCACTTTCGTGGAGTACCTACATCCACATATATATATAGGTATATTGGAAATTGGATTTAGCGGCAGCGATATCGCCGCCACCCCCCCAACCCCAAAACACCCCCTCCCTGATTTTAGCACATCTTAATTCGATAATTGCCAATAATTGCCGTTAATGGAGGGGATGAGACAACAATTGGCGCAACGCCATTGATAAACCGAGGGATATGATATATGGGGGGGGGGGGATATCAGAAATATGGGTTTTTTCGTGGCTGCAATTGTTTGGGGCAAAACGACAAACAAACGGGCGGATGGATGGATGAACAAACAAAACAAAAGCCCCCCCAACTTCCAATGAGACCATATATGTATGGGCAAAAACAAAAGAGCCAGACAAGCCGTCAAGCAATTTTTATCGTTTCATTTTTAATTTATTAATTATTTATTTGTTTGCTTAAACGAACGACGATGTCGTTTTTTGTCGTCTTCCCATCGCTTCGCGGTTTTTGTGTCTCAATTTCGGTATTCCGACGTCACGATATGGATATGATATGGTTATAAACGAGTAAGAGTATATTGATGTTGATAAACAGATGCGGGGACCATCCAAATATACATATGAATCTATATACCTACATCTATATAATCGAACAATCGCTTAACATATCCGCAATGTTTTGGCCTTCTTGCTTCTTAAGAACCTATAGAACATTTGTTCGAGCGACTGACTGTTCCTTTCATTTTTCGGTTTTTGTCAACTTTATGTTCAAACAGAAAATACCCACAAACATACGCTCATTTTGTGTAAATAAGCCCGAATGAGCTATTGAACGATTTAGGTTCGTTAAACCCGGTTTCAAGGCCAACGTATAACCCACATTTGTTATTCGAAAATAGCTGGTTTTGAAATATCTTTGAAAATCATATACCTTGTATACCGATTTGTAAATAATACATGGTTGGAAACTATTTAATGTTCATTTGTTTGTGAAGAATTTGATTCATCTTATCATACTTCAAACTTTATAAACTGCAAACTCATGATTATCATCTTCGAAACTCTTTTACTCTATTGTATTTGTGGATCATAAAAGCTTTTTTATTATTTTTTTTGTCAATGCCCACTCTTTGAACGCCTTTTGCACTGCGCAATTGATCCTAATGGAATAATACAAAAGTGCAGGCCTGCTTTAAACATGTCGACGTCATCAGGCGGACAAACAGCACCGCCGTTTATCAATCTCGTGTATCTCGTGAATATGTATCCCATAGATAGGGAGTGATTGGGTTCGGGGGAAAGGGGCCAGCGCCATGGTGTCCCTCGTTTAATTGTCAATTTATTTATTAGACATCGCGATTCAATGCCCGCTTCAGTTCCCTTCAGTTCCCTTCATCCCCAACCGCCGCACATTTCAATTAAACACCCAAGACACAATACAATCTGCACTGATCTGCCCCAAGCTGACTTGGTTAAGATCGAGTGCGTGTATATGTGTATTATGGAATGTATATATGTATCTTACAGAGACTGATTCATTTGGCCTCCTCCATGCGTCACCCGGATGCCAATGGGTGGATGGGAGATCCGATCCGATCCGATGCGACTTCCAGCCATAATGGCTTATGCAATTACCGTAGACACCACATGATAGCCCGTGTAACTACGAGATGGGGCGCTAATTGGAGGCGCGACACGTGCAAATATCTTCTAAAGGCTATAGGCGATACGCCATATTCAGAACCACCTATTAATCAAATCTGTGTGAAGTTGCATAACGCCCATAGCCCCCCCCACCCCAAATGGCAATGACAAGAAAAGCACCCAAAACAAAGACGAAATCCTCACCAGTCATCACAAGATACTTAGCTCTTCGCGGCTGACTAACGCCAAAGATAAGCCCCGGCCCCCATGATAAGATAGACGAACATCTCCAGCTCAAAGTCGGGTTATGGAAAATGTATTCAAATGTCGTTACAAAGAATTCGTCTGGTATGTAAACTAGTTTTCCCAAACGGTATTTTATTAGATAGACATTAATATGATAATTGGTTTTGACTTTACATATTCGTCTCAGGCTAAATTCCATTTTACAAATAATGGGGATTATAAAGTTTGAAGATACTCTCTTGGATGTATCATTTCCTCTATGCGTATTTATAGATCTCGTCGGAACTTTAGGGCCCTAATTGGCATGACTTTAGCGTCTCTAAAGATAAAGACAATAAACCTGGAAATGAATCATCTATTATGGTTCCAGTAGTATCTTTAAAGTATTCTAAAAGGCTTTCACAAAAACGATTTTGGGCTTGCTGTATTAGCATAATGTACTGACTTAGAATTTATAAAAACATATATTTTTACAATTTAAATCCATATAATCCAATAACAGTGTACCCACGCCTCTGACTAACCCAGTAAAAAGTTTCACAGATCTGTGAAATCTTATGGATATTTCTGGAGATAAGAGTGCGTTAGAATTCGTGGACCATACTCCGCTGTTTGTGTTTGGCTTTAGCAAATTGCAAATCACTTTATGAGCTCTACAAACCGTAAATCTAGTGCCACGAAAGCGACAAAAGTCGACTATATCTGTGCATATATAGGGCCATTTATCTGGGCGATCTAGCGACACCCATGTGGGTCAGACAGCGACGAATATATACGAGTACGGGTATTTGCCTTAGCGCCCCGGCTACCGCACTTGAATTTTTAATAACCTTTTCAAGTTCACTGCCTCGAATCGTCGTATCATCGTATCATCGTATCATAATCATTGTTTATTGTCCTATCCTCAGCATTTCATCATCTGCAGCAACATTCGATTCGATTTGTGTTTCGGTTTCGTTTTCGGTTCGACTTCGTTATCGTCGCCGCCATTCATTCATTCATTAATTCAATCAATTAATAATGGCTAAGAACAATTAACACTTGGCCAAGCCGATACAGATATAGCTTGGGATACAGATACATTTGCACTCGGCAGACCGCTCTGCTCCGGACCCAATTGGTTTCCATCCGCCTCGATCCGCCGATCCATCGATCCATCCAACTCCTCTGTCCCACTCGTATATTATTTTCATTTTTTGCTCGTTACTTGTGTGAATTGAGGGCTGCGGATGCAGAGATCTGGGGAAGTTTTAACGACATCGATAGACCCTAAAAGAGTGGGAGAGTTTACATTGAACTGCGGAGACATTTAAAGTCATTCACTAGAACAGTGAAGATATGGCTGAGGGATCATGGCTAAACATATTAAAATAAGATATACTAAACTCAATTTAACTTATCTCTTCTCATCATTTTGTTCTGATATTGAGAGCATTGAACCCAAAATGTACTTACATGGTTATTAAGAACGAATGTTCTCAATTCAAGAACATTGTACTTGAAAATTTCTCTCCGTGAAGTTTTAAAATGATAAGGAACTTAAAAAGTTATGTAACTCAAAAATAGATAGACTGTTATATATGCTTAAAAATTATCTACAAACTTAAATTTATTAGAAAAGGAACTTCCTCTACGAAAGGATGGCTTATTCTAAATACAGTACAACAAAGATTATTTAAGTTAAATTGATATGCCTTTAATTAAATGTATTTAAAGTAGTTCGAAATATCTCGAACTTCAGTGAATTTCCACTTTCAAAGCCAATAGGTAAATTAAAGAGCCGATTTTCTTACTCATCCTTGGACACCTTTTTCAGTAATGCAAAAACCTATTAAATTTCTCTGATTACGTTTTAAGTGCTAGATTTTAATTAAAATCGGACGATTTTCGTGGCATTCAAGTACTCAATTTGAAATAGACAAGGTGTGAATCACTACTTAAAAGTGGAGTACTCTAAATATAGTAGAATTGATTTCAAATTGATTTATGATATTTTTCGGTAGGGTGAGTGTACAGATAAAATCGAGCCTTGAACAGTTATGGGAGGTGTGAGTCACTATTTAATACAGCAATTTCATCAATATGGATGGTCGTTTTTTCCTTTTTTCACAAAGAATTGTAAGAATTACGGTAGACATAGTATTTTCACCCATTTGAGCGTAAACAGTTCGTTAATATTGTAAATAGTCATTAAACCGCTTGAACAGCTGTTGTTATTTGCGGTGAATGATGTTCTGGTGCTAAATGTTGGAAATTATAAATATAGATCCCCAAGAAGCGAGTACAACTTTTTTTTTGTTTTTATTTACCAAGTCACAGTTAATTAAATAACAATTTTCTGTCAGCTCCTCGAATCATTTGTGAATCAAGATAGCTAAATAATGAACTCAACTAAACGGCATAAATCACACGAGCTCATCTGAGCACCTAATGGATATTAATAACAAAAGAAATCCTAAGTCAAATGATGATTGAGTATGGGAAATACTGATTGCGACCGCCATTTAAATATTAATTATTTTCGATGAAAAATGCTACCTTTTTTTTGCATTTTATTCGCTAGAATTTTCTGCGGCGCAACTGGATTTTCGACTCGAAATGCCAATTGCCCAACCCCAACCCATTTAAGCCCACGCACGTGAGCCGAAGCCAAGAAGTCCATGGGGCCGCAACGGTAATTCAGTCTAGATCGGGGACCGACAGTTAGGATGGTCGATGGTATCGAATGGTATCTTGGTTCAGTATCGGCCCGCTTTGAATCATTAGCCAGCACTGGGGCGCAGCCATCAATCTTCCAATTGTCTGTGTCCATAGCTTAGCCCCTTCGATCCGATCCGATCTGATCCGATCCCAATCGAAAGAGAGCCCCGCGAACAAGTGCGAAAGACCCGGAGGTATATTTGAAAAAAACTAGATACTCTAGCGCCATTTTTGGGAAAATATATCTGTAACATTAAAAAAATATGTTTCTAGATTTAGACTTATAAAATTGTAGTGTGTTAATGTCTGTAGGTTAATAGCAATGAGATATTTCATATATTTGTCTAAAAACATTAAAAATATGATATATGATTGGGACTTTAACTAATGGAGTCATAGCATTTTGTCAACTACTTCGATTTACACTTACAAGTTGGATAAAACAAAGTAAAGTAACATAACCGGTAACTTTTATAGAATATTATAAATAAACTAAAAATTCATAATATATAACTTTCTTGGAATAGTTTAGAGATCAAATAGAAATTAGAAAACTCATCCTAAAGCGAAAAGCTATGATTCGAAGAATTATTAGATAAAGCTGAATAGGAAACAGTTTTCTGACCGATAATCATCTAACGAACATGGTCCACCATTCAACATTCCAAGAATGAAATATAACTGAGATCTGAATGGCGTGGAAATTGGTGACAAGTACGGAGCTGTGAGCGGAGTACCCTCATTAAGGGTATGTAAATAAATATTGTTGAAAACCGGCAAGGCGGCGACGTCGATGAAAACAGAAAACAGCCCGAAACCGCTTGGGGCCGGTTAAAACTAGAATCGGTGGTTCGGATCGGTGGACCCCGTTCGGATCAGTTCGGATCTGTTGGGTTTTGGTTTCGGTTTCGGTTTGGATTGGGTTGGGCTGGGTTGCGTTGACTTGGCTTGCGTTAAGTCGGGCTAAGTTAAGACGGGCTCGACTTGGTTATCGGCCCATTAAGACGATTTGCGGGCATCGGACATTGAAAACTAACCAGCTGGCCAAAATGCGACAAGATTCGCAAGATTTACCGACTTTTGCCAGCACCTGACAAAAAAACAGAATCGGCCAAGACGAAGATGTCCCCAAAGGCCACAAATTATTGACATGGTCGCCGATGAAATGCATTAAGCTGACTTAAATATATGATAATGATATGGGGTTCTTAAGCTTTCCAGTGCTTTCACATTCGCCAGGATAACGACTAAGGAATACCCGTTAGGGGTGCGAAACATTGCTAGGTTTTCAGTTGGAAGGAAAGTCCATTTATAACAGATCCAAATCATTTTTCTTTGATGTGTAGGTCTTAAAGCGTAAAATCATATGAAAGTTAAGAACCATTTTCCTATTCACATATTAAACTAAAAGTAACTTTTAAATTCCGAGTTCCCATACATTTTCTAGGCCTAAAACCTACTCTTAGTTTAACATACAGATGAGAAAACGGTCCTTAGATATTAAAACCTCTTTTAAACAGCCAATAATGACTTTACCTTAAGCTCTACACTAATGTATATATGTTGTAGGAAATAAAACCACATAAAGAGCAATGAACCCAAATCTAGAAACTTAAAAATGGGATCTAATAACATTTCAAACGTTTTCCTATAGTGCATTTGAATAAGTATTTGTAATTGTATTCGTTTATTCCATTATATTATATATATTAGCATTTTAATCGATTGTATTTCTCTCAATTTTATTTAATAAAAGAAAATTCCAAGCTTTTCTTAGGCAAACACTATTCTGATCGTAAAGGTATTGCTTCTCCCTTAAGATTTCCCAGAAATACAGAACATTTTTCAGGCAATAACCGCTGGTTTGGCAATCGCACAAGGTGCCCCTCTTGCCGGTGTTTGCAAATCGTGTCGCATAATTTGCAGTGAACCGCAATCGGCATAACTCATACGCCGCGTGTCCCAAATGGAGGTTAAGAGCCAGTGCAGTCGGTGCAGTGCCAGTTTGAGTGTCTATAAATAAATCTCTCGATGCAATCGCAAACTGGTCTGTCCACTCGGGGCTCGTACCGTATCCAAAAACCAACACAAAAACCCCCATCCGATCCGATCCCATACGATCCATTCCGATACAAACCGAAACGTAACGAGACGAAATGGCCTGCAGTTGCATGCCGAAGAACGGCCAAAACGCGTCAACATCAGTATATTTCGGCTAAATTCATTTCTTGGCTGTTTTTGGCAGCCATGATGGTCAAGGACGTACATTAACCAGGTCCGGCGGTTGGGTACAGTGAAGACAAAGGCCAGGCAGACAATTACATAAACGCGACAGGTAGTTTGCGCGTTAAGTGAGCAGAGTAAACAAGAAGGCACGAGGAAAAGCATAATTAAATGAATTAAAAAATTAAGCGGAAAAAGAATATGAAATCTATAAGCCAAAGATATGCATAATATTCTTACAAAGAATTTTTAAAGAAGATATAACAAATACTGCGTCTAACCTATGAATATTTATAAGAAAAGTTTGAATCATTGGATTTCTTATACCCACCAGAAAAATAAAGAACATATAAATAACTAAAGACTGAAAGGAAATCAAAAGTAAATTTGTAAATTTAATAATAATTCTTCAACACCGATGTTGAAAGCTCAAAAGTAAGTAGTTAAGTGCTTACAAAAGTCTGAAAAATTGTTATGTAAAAATGCAGCTCGACTCAACTCATAATTTAGAACACAAAAATAATTAATTGGTTTGACAAGTTGGTAAAACCTTTCTAAACCGTTGCTGGCGTTTGTTTTTTTCTTTTTTTTTTCTTGTGCTGACATTGCTCACTTGGCTGCACGTGGCGTATGCGCAATATTCTGTGGTCGATAGTCGATGGTCGATGGTCGGTGGTCGGTGGCCAGTCTGAAATCTTGAATTAACAGCAGCCACACCCCAAAAACAAGAATGTCGCTTTTTGCTCGGATTTATTTCAATTGCAATTTTTATTTCGTTGCCCAGCGTTTTTATGCCACATTTTATTGGCCAACAATGGGAGCTGAATTTCGGTTGTGTTTTTGCTCAATTCTATCTCTTATCGCAAGGCCGTTCATAAAAACATATATGCGTATATATTACACCAATCTGGCCTGATCTTTTTCGATCTGTACCAGTTGATTGCATTTTATTGATTTTATTATTTTGTAAGTATGGCCCCTTTAATATAAAACTTTAAGGGCCTTTTCTTAAGCATATTTTGGAATTACAATGGAAAATTTGCAGAAAGATTGTGTAAATATTTAAGCAGAAGATCAAAACGTTATAAATGTTAAATACAAATTGTAAACCCTTTTAAATATTCACGTGTGTCGTTTGGTTTCATGATATAATTTTCAATCGCGTAATTATTTCAGGTGTTACACAAATTTCCAGTTAAACGAGGCCCAACAATGGGCGTTATGGAGAAAACACTTGACAAGCGATTTTCTCCCACAATAGATCAGTGGCACCGCCCCGAACATCCGTCCAAAAAAGCGTTTCATAATCGCAAGAATACTTGGGGACCTTGACTATCAAATGCGAACTACATTTCAATGTCGCCACCCGCCGTCACCCCTCATCCACGAACACAATGTTACTTCCAGATACATCTGGGGTTATTATTCGAGATATATTCTAGATACGATCCGATACGATCCAAAGCCGTGCTCACGACCTTCCCCGTAGTGCCTGCGTTGTCTATGCCACACGCCACACAAATTGACGTAGTAAACTCTTTCCAACTGGCGGTAAATACCATTTATGTACTTAATATTTATTTATTTTGTATTTTTTTCGCCGTTGTTCGTCTCTCTCAGGGTAAGTTTTTCCAAACAATAGCGGGAAAAAATTAGCACAGCTGCTTCAAAAAAAAAAAAAAAAGAAAAAAAAGGCATACGACGAAGAAGAAGTAGAAAAAAAATTGAGCTAAGTACGTGAAAAGCGCAAATACAAATATAAATATTATTGCAAAAAAATTTGAACAAAAAGCCTGGGAGGCTGAGAAAACTATTTAGTTTTTTTCCAACATAATGCCACAATATTTATTTTCAACCCGAAAGTAAATTGCAATTAGCAGCAATTTGCGAACTATCTAATTGATAAGCCCCATATTTGTTTGAGCTGCGCCAGGTGAAATTCGTAGTCTACAAACCGTAGTCCCACAATCCAATAACCGATGATCCGGAATCCGTAATCCAGACCAGACTTTGCATAGCCTTCCGCGAGTGATCAGTCATCGCGGCAATTAATGTACGACATTAGAGTGGACCATTAACACGGCTCTGCTAAGTGCCCATCTTTCGGCCGGTCAAAACCCCTTCAACCCTTGATTAATTATCGCCAATCAATGAAAAGTCGCATCTTGCGAAACATCATTTTTTCGTTTTTATAAATATGTATTGTTGGTTTTTAATCTAGGAATTCGAATGGGAATTGATACCGAAAATTGGGGCTGCGTCTGGGGGAGGCCGGTCTTTAATATTCGATCTTCTGGCCGGAGAATCGAATCCGGTTTTTATTTTCGGCTCTTCTGTTGTGGCTTTTATACCCAGCATTATGACAAATGACTGGCGATCCATCAAAATGTGCCAAACACTTGGTTATTTATGAATGTGGCGCAGCAAATGTTGAACGTTCCCCGTAATTTGGTTCATTTTATTGTCTGTCCCCACTCAGAGTTATATGGCTTTTGGGGCGGGGCTTTCAAGTAGAATGCTGTAGCTTTACGTGGAAAGTAATATCTAAATTCAGCCATTTTAGCACATTTAGCAAGACAGTTTACCATTTATTGCGCACTAAGTTAATATTTAATTATATATGTATATGCAATTGTTATTACTACAATAATTATATTTACTATCTTTTCTTAAAATAAAGTAATCTAAGTAATCTTTTAAAAATAGTTATGTCTTAAACAACAGTTTTTGTTCGTTTACATGACTTAGTTTTAACTTTATCAAGCCCCTACATCATTTATTCATTTATATTTGTTGTTAACCATCGAAACCCTAATTAATTTAATTAATTAGCTGTTGACGGTTTCAAAAAATTAATTAACCTCTTCTTTGTTGATTCTGTCAATATAACCACACCCAAGTGCAAAATTCTTGTCTAACAAAATATACAAAAAAAAAAAGAAAACGCAACTGAATATTTATTGTGAGGTTAACCAAAAACACCATAAAACACAATAATTTATAGGTGCTGTAAAAAATGTATAAAAATATGTAAGTTTGACAGCATTTTCAACAGCCACGATCTTAGGCCCCCAAATAGTTATAATTCCGTTCATCTATATAGTATAGATCTTGTTAACATATTTTTTCTGTTGTTCACATATTTATGCTTCGCCGTTTGCATGTGAATTTTAATTTAATTTTCCTTGGGGTTTTGCATAAAAGTATGAAAACAAGTGTTTACAAATCAATAATGCAAAAATCCGTATGGGAGGCGCAATCAACAACCGTTGCGACCACGCCCTCCCCTTCCTCATCATCATTATGGTCACTTGCCCAGTAAATAAAAGTTCAATGTTTGAATACATTAAACTTAAAAACCCAGGCTGTGCCGATAATACGGGTTGGAGATGGAGGTAGGCCAGACTTATCGAGTGGTAGGGGGTGCTCAGAGGCGCTTGGGGGTGCCTGGGGGTGCTTGGAGGTGCCGACAGTACGAGCAACGCCAGCGAAATGACCATTTTCAATAACACTCACGTAGCATCCGAGTCGATAAATTACAATAAAAACGGCAAAAGATCCACAATTGAAATTTCGTTGGTTTTTCGCAGCACGTCCAAAAACAACATTCAACAATCAACAATCCAGTGGCAACAACAGAACCGACAACAACGGGAGCAGCGAAAAGGAAGGTTACCACTTTTGGGTGAACCCACGAAGCCCAGATGCACTCTAAAACATTTCCAAATATTTTTACCATTTTATTATAATAAGATATCTTAGCTCTTCAAGCTTAAAAAAATATATTGCAAGCGCCAAAATAATTATTTACCCATATGTTTCTCGCAAAATACACTTTTATTGTTATGAAAAACAAATATAATTGTTGAAACATAAACATTTTTGTATACATTTCGATGAATGTTTGGAGTGCGAACACCTTAAAGAGGAATAAACGATAGCTAAGAAGGTGTTAAATGTGAAAAATATAATAAATATTCAATATGTAAGATTATAATAACAACTATAGAGATATAACGATTTCATTCAACAGAAAAAATAAATAAACATTAGCTACGAAAAGAGCTAAACAATGGTTTGTAAACATATGTAGCTGTATACATTTGTTCTTCTATATAAAAATCTTAAACAATGACATTAAAGTAGGGAACCCATGGATGTTTTGCGGCCAAATCGACTGTAAAATCAAGTAAGCCCTATGTATAGAGAAGACCAGAAACAATGCAAGGCAGACGAGTTTCGGAGAGGAAGAAACAACATATGTATGTGAAGGCCAAGGACGACCAGCCATTCCCTGGACACATGATCGGGTCAAGGGATTTCCCACTCCTCATTTCCTCACCCCACCTATCGCCTATGGAACCTATAGTATTATATATAGAGGGGCCCCTTATCAAAGGCGAAATCAAAAAAATTCAAGACAATTACGCCAGAACAATAAACAAATAATTGTTGACTAAGCCGATTATTTATAATTCTTTATATTTAGACACTCAATTGAGCACTTGGCACGAGCTTCAGCTTTGAAGATGATATGCACAAATAAAGGAATTTCGGAGAATCATATTTGTCAGTCTCAAGACGTCTGGGGATCATCTTGAAGAGGTGCCAAATCGATATCTATAGAAGCCTTGGATCAACGAGGGTTCTTCCCCTGTAATATTTATCCTATCTATTCGCATGAATCACTTCCCCCAGATAATAGGAATAATAATTTTCAATCAAACTCCGATAAGCATTTCAAGTTGCATTTTTATTTCTTAATTAATTACCCTCTGCGCTTCTGCTCGTCTGGTTTTTTTTTGTGTGATTCCTCTAAACGAAAACATCCAGAAATGCACACGTCATTAATTAGGAAACAAGATATCAGTTTCGCAGTCAGCAACAATAAAATGCTCTTTTTCATTCCAAATACTGGCTGAATAATAAACAAATTACTTTAACTTATTAGAAATTTTTTTCTAGAAACTTCCAAAAACTTAATTTCAAAATCTTATAAAAAAAGTAAGCAACTATCTTTAAGCCCTTCAAAGTACTATCAGATATTTCCGGAAACGCAAATAGATAGTCTTCCCCTTAATCAACAAATTAAACAAATTTTTTCAAATCAAGTTTATCTATATAGTTTGTTTATAGTTCGTTCGATTGTCGGCAATTAAACATTTTGGGAAAACCTCATTCACCTCAAAAAGATAACGTCTCTGAACGATAGGAACAGAAGGATGATAATTGCCCTCATGTCGATAAGGCTTTAATGAGTTGGCTAATAATTTCCCATGATTTATGGGAATCTACATGCCAGCAAAGGTTAAAACAAGAGCACATTCCAATACAGTTTTAAATATAAATTATGAAACTATTTTTAACCATTTTTTTGATACCAATTTATTTATGAGTTGTTTATATATGAAATAACTTAGAAAAATAAAGTTGTATTTATAATTTTTTAAAAGGGATACTATAAATTAACTAGATAAGAAGTCCCATTTAAGGTGAAAAAGGCAAATAATAGGTAATATCACTCACAGAAGATTGTTTTTGGAAGAAGTAAGCATGGAAGACGGAATCCCAAACGGTTCGTATCGGGTTTGTTTCGGTTAAGGAGTTTGTTAAAAATAAAGCGACAGCCAAAATGTTTACTATCGTATTATTGAACAAAATTGAACTTAATTAGATTATATTTGTCATTTTTGATTGAGTTTTGTTTTAAGTCCCAGAAATGTGTTTTTTTAAAAAGAAGTTTGCAGGTGAAACGGAATCCTAAACGGATCGTATCGGGTTTGTTTCGGTTAAGGAATTTGTACCGTATCGTATCGTATTAGTGAACAAAATTTAACTAGATTAGATTATATTTCTTATTGTATAATGAGTTCTGCTTTGAATCGCAGAAATTTGTTTTTTGAATAAAGTTGTGAAACGGAATTCCAAACGGTTCGTATCGGGTTTGTTTCGGTTAAGGAATTCGTCCGAAATAATGCGACAGCCAAAATGTTTGCTGTTGAGCAGGTGGGTTTGAAGTGGCTGGAGGGGGTGTTTGGGGGCTTTTCGGTGGCCGAGAGGGGCGGCGAAGCGACCCGAGCTGGGGTTTTGAACTGGCTTGGCTACCTTACCCGTTCACCTTGTAAATCAGCGCCACATACTAAAAATACCAGTGATCCGAGCTCTTTTGTTGTTGCCTCTCAGCTGTTGTTGTTGCCTGGGTTTCGGCCAGTATTTGTTATTGTTTCTGCAGTCGGCCGACTCGATGTTGGCCAACAACGTTAACCTGAACCGCTTCTAATAGTTTATAATGTGAGCCAAACCTGTCGGCCATTTTGCTTGCAAATTTTTATATCTCTCGGATATTGTTTATGTTTTCGATTTCGGAGTTCTTCGAACTCGTCGGGGTTTTTGAGATCTCATGAAAAATTGCCCAACCCGCTGACAGCACAAGAAGAAGCGCCATCACTGAGCGAAAAAATGGTTAAAAAAAAACACACACAGTTGAAGGCAAAAAGGCCATCTGGTGAACGATAAGAGGAGCCGAGAGTTTTTTGCCATTGCGGAAGCTTTATTTATACGAGTGTTTTATTTCTTATTTGTATACCCTTTAAAAGGGTATTTTGATTAATGGTTTTTTGAGGTGTGTGTTTGTTTAGGTTTAACAAAAAAAATAGCTTGATAGCATGGTTTTCTTGACTTATCCATCGGTTTTCTAAAGAATTAATCGCTCAGTTCAACGAATATGTATTGTTCCAAATTTTAACAACCCTGTTATGTTTCGAAATAATTTTATCTATTTTATCTTATCTATTTGTTTATACCTGAAAGGGTATATCAGCTTTGGTCTGCCAAAATATACTTCTTTTTAACGTTTTTTGCCAAAAACGTGCCCGAGTCCGTTGCCCGTTGACCGATTTGTTTACTTCAGAAAAAAAAAGAATCTGAGAGGCAGCAGCGGCACAAAGAATATTTAATAAGATGGGTCTTGAAATTCAAAGTGTCCATGTCGCAAGAAATATAGAAAAACAAGCATAGGTTAGAGGAGGTATATAGATAGGTATGGTATGCGTGCACATGGCATTATTATTATTTTTGGAACCGGCTGACAAGAGTGTCTCATTCGGATTCTCAGGGTTGGCAGTTTCTTGATCCGCACAGCCCCCGTTCGCAGTTCCTGCTTTTATTGTTTTGTATAGTTATAATTTGTTATATACTTACTTTTTTGCCATATAACTGAGTGATTCTCTGCAGCGGAGCGGCGCTTGTAAGTGGATTCCAATTAGAACGCCGACTCCGCTTTCAATTTGCCAATTGGCCTTGGGCTTAGCCGCACGTTTCTGCAGCGGCCGGTGAAAGAGAGAGCACTACGGGCTTAGAAAGAGAGGGCGAGAGAGCAGGCGGCTTGGGGTGAACCAAAAAAAGTAGATATATTAAACAAGGCAGGTTAAAATGGGTGTATTTTTTGACTTTATCACTCATTCGACCTGTTGTATATTCTAAAGAGAATTCGTTCTTTATTAGCAAAAAATATAAAATACTTATTAACTAATTTTGAAAAGTTATTAGAGGTTCTATAGATTGAAATTATAGCCTTTATTGTAATAACTTTTATTTTAGTATGCCATTGAGTAAAAATTTATTAAAGGCCTAATAATTCCTTAAACGATTTTAAACATTATGTTCTAAAGCTTCATTTTATGTTCTTAGTAAGTATCCATAATGCTAATAATTGATGGTTCCTAAATCATTAATCTGTTTCACAATAATTGCTCAAAAGTTACAACTTGAGTGTATGCTATTTGCTTTTAACCACTGGTTATTAGCGGTCCACCCTTTTTAACTATCGTGTAACTCAGAGAAGGAAGCCAGCCAGAACTGATCGATACAGGTTCTAAGACTCCGTCAGCCGATCAAAGTGGAATGCATTCTGTTAAAGAATAACCTTGCGACTAAGTTTAGCAACAATACGATACTGCAACTCATGATTAGCAGGGTCAGTCGATCAAAGCCATAAATCAACGATAAAACTGGTAGTAAAATAATAAAAGAAATAAAAAAGTGAGACTTAGATATTCTTTCCTCGTGTAAACATTCTTAGCAGGTTATAAAACTGACATTTGAATCGACCGACTTTCTCCCCATCTCTCCAATCCTTTCACATTCTCAACATCTGCCACTTTCATCTGTCATTTCAATTCTCACCCCTCTCAATCACATTCCGACTTTTAACTACATCTGCCCACTCTCGATTTCTGGTAGATTAATTATAATTGAAAATATTTTAGAAGAACACCAAGTGGCTTTTAGTGGCTTACGAAATGATATACTCTACTAAGGTAAGTGCTAAATATGGGTTAGCCTCACTTTTTTAACTGGCTGGAATATTATACATATTATTCTAAATAGCTGAACTTTCAATTCTAAAATTAGTTGTATAATCTCGGAAACTTATTCCTTAATAAGTATGATAAGTATGATAAAGAGAAATTTTTTTTATGAATTGCATACAAATTTTTACTATTCAAAGTAAACACATACAGGCTAAAGTAAATTACTTTTTAATATTTTTCCTCTTCATAATACCTTTTATAAAGTATCTGCAAGTCGTTCTAGCTATCCTACCAACTTCCATATATGTTTCTTGGTCACTTTGTTTGCGTTTATTTGCTGTGAACCTGTTACAGAGTTGGTTTTCAAATGGTGACCAAAGTGGTGGCATTCCTGAGACCCGAAAGCCGCACCCCCAAACGCTTTCCATCGCGATCCGATTCTCTGTTCCCCAACCATCCAGTATCCAGTATCCACTAACCATTATCCATTCTCCTCTTACGATCTGGGGAATACGTAGATCTAGGGGGAGAGAGATCAATTAAGACAGGTGATTGCCTGGCTGGCAATTAAATTCTTGCCGGGCTCTAATGTATGTCCATAGTGTTAATTGCCAATGACTGACTCAATTCAATTGAAATGTCTATATCCGACTCTTACCTCAGCGGTGCCAGGTGGCAGTAGTGATTTGTGGGGGGGTTGGGGAGCCAGGTCTTCGATAGGAAAACTTGGCACAACACAATCCAGTTGGATCTAGTAAGCCCCCAGCGGGATTCTGACCACCATATGTCGGATGCACGATCTCTGATCTTTGTGGCAAAGGGAAAGGCGGGAAAATCCCCCTATATATAAGCGCATTATATGATTGGCTTAACTTAAATAAATATAATTAATCAATTAAATATTAAAACAAAAACCTCCCATTTCCACTTAACACTCAATTTTCAGAATTTTAAACACTCAGAAAAACACGAAAACTAGGTACTTTTAACAACATCATGGTAAATGTTGGTCTATATTGTAAATATACTGTATTATTCGTGTAACCCAATTTTCTTACCAAAAAAAAAAAAAAAAAAGAATATTTTTCGTAATCACCCAGAAAGTTCTAAGGATTATTAGTTTATCAAATTTAGTTATATCATAAGCAAATAAATACCAAGGTAATTTTAAAGAAAATTACAAATATTGATCAATATTGTAAATATACCAAATAAATATACCAATACCAAAAAAAAATTAAAAAGAGTATTTTTCGTTATCATCCAGAAAGTTCTAAGGATTATTAGCTTATCAAATTTAGTTATACCACAAGCAAATAAATACCAAGGTGATTTTAAAAAAATTACAATTATTGGTCAATATTGTAAATATACTATAGTATCCTTAAAACCCAATTTTCTTACCAAAAAAATTTCTTACCAAAAAAAAAAATTAAAAGGAGACTTTTCCGTAATCGCCCAGAAAGTTCTAAGCATTATTAGCTTATCAAATTTAGTTATACCATAAGCAAATAAATACCAAGGTGATTTGAAAGAAAACTAAAATTTTTTCCATTCAATGGAAAGTTAAATAATTTGCACAACCTGCTAATCGACATTTCTTTCTGCTCTAATTTACAGACAAATTTGAAAAAAAATAACTTGTCAAACAAACAATAAAATGCGTTTATTGGTTGTACATTGCGCAAATTGATTTCAACCTCTAATTGCATATTAATTAACCGCGAACTTGGCGAAAATTTTCCACCATCGCCAAATAAAAAGGCCGCCGAAAATGTTTGCTATTCGCAAGTAAATGCTAGAAAATTGAATCTAAGGTTCAATAAAATGTGTGGAAAGCAATTGCGAGGGAACTTTGCCACCAGACCTAACCAGTTAATAGATTAGACATCCAGAATTCGAACTTCCCCTGCCATAAATGGCAATTTAACGCCCGGCATCCGAAAACTTTTATGGGCCACTGTAAACGCTTCGCTAATCAATTGTGCAAATGTGACATTTTTGAGGGGCCATTTTTTGTTTGCCGAGCGTCTTACATTTTATTATTTGCCATGGTCGGCTGGCTTTTGGCGTCTGCCGGTGGGTGTGTGTATAAGCATTGGCCATCAGGGGTTAAGGGGGTTAAGAAATGACGCCCGGGCGGCTGCAGTCAATTTGCTTTAACACTTTGAGACAAAGATCACAAAAGGGGGCTTAACGCTTTCTATACTCGAAATCCTACCTACCGCCTACAGTGGTAAACAAAAAGCATGCAATTCGAATTAAAACCCAGCTTAAAAAAAAAAAATTAACCATTTTATATTTAGTTTTTAAAAAGTTTAAGAAAAAACGACCCTTCATTTAATTTCTGTTCATCTCTGTGCGAAAACCCCTCTTTTTATTATCTTTTAATGGTACTATATTATTTCCGGATTCTATCCAAATTAGTTTATCACCCAAAAATCATCTATCCATATTTTATTTAATAACATCCAATAAAAAAACCCCCAAGGTATAAATTTTATTTATTGGCTATAAATCAAGAACGTTCATTTGGCATAATTTTAAACAAGTTTCTAATCAATTAAGTTCAGTAAGAAAGAGGGAATAAAAAAGAGTTCGAATTCATTAAGTCTTAATTAGTTAAAAATATGTTTGAATGAATCATCATTAAATATATATTCGATTATAAAGATGAACAAAAATTCGTTTAAAATGATTCCAAGCTTTATGCAGATTAGTTATTTATTGTATTTTAAATGCAAATTTCAAGTTCAAGAACACAAATGGCATAGATATTCTATTGTTCAGAGGGTTTAAAAAAAATACTAAATTATTTTGTACAATTAACTTAAACTGAATTTAGCAAAATGTTGGATTGCAAATATATATAACTCATATTTACTATAATTTGCCGCATCACTTAACCCATTTCCTTAATTTGTAACAAAATATTTAATTTGGAAAATAAATTATAATTGAGCTAATCAACAGAGATACAGATACTTGATCATGCTGAAAACCATCCCCTGATTTGGATGAGGGATCCCTGCACTTCCTAATTACTCAATCAACTAGCTCAATCACTGATCATCGACGGAGCTCCACTGAGGCATGATGGGGTATTCTCGGATCTCGGATTCCAAAACCTCAGATATACGAGATCTCAACCAGGCTAAACGATCGCCGATCGGGTTCCAGCCACTTCCCTATATCCACTGTACCGTTTACACAATGATAGCTGGGCAATTAGGTGATGGCCGTAATTACGGACAAATTACCCGGGAGCCGAAAGGGAGTACGAGTCTGCCAATCCGGCAATTCTGACAACCTTCATCAGCGCTTGCATGATTGCCATATTTAGCTAATCTATCAATTATTGCATACAACTAATTGAAAATGGTTTAGGCAAATAATAAAGACAAGTCAGCGAAGCATGTCCAAGTCAGGGGCACGTGATCCGTAACTCCATAACTTCGTAACTCCGTGATCCGGAATTCGCAACTATCTGGGAATATTCGTTTTTATACAAAGCGTTTTTAACCATTCAAATTGCACCTATTCCTAATTTTTAATTTGCAGTTTTAAGATTTAAAAAAATATATAACAAAGATCAAAGCAGAGATTATAATAAACTTTAATTTTTAATTAGTGATTTTGTGTTTTTTCGACATTATACAAGGGTATACGATTCGTATAATACGAACCGCTTTTTAACCATTCAAAGTGCATCTATTCTTAATTTTGAAGATATAGAATTATAGTTTTGGAACTTAAAAATATATATAATAGCAAAGATCAAACCAGAGATAATAGTGGCCTTTAATTTTTAATTGATTTTATTTTTAATTTCTTATGATATACCTTTTGGGATGAGCATCCAAAGGTTTCCATTTAAGTCTTGACCATCGGAACTGAATCTTCCCTTTGCGTGTCGTCTCCACATTCATTTGCTTGCCTTTTTGCGCAATAAAATGTGTTATTTATTTACTTGTTCCTGAAAATATTATTTATTTAATTAATTTAATACTCTTCTCATGCATTTATTTGCTTAATAAACGAAATGCGAACGACGAATGGCCCACAGTGTGTACTCTGCGTGTTTGCTCTTCTCATTTTGATTAAATGCTGTTTCTTTATTTAATCAAATGAGAGTGGGTGGTTGGGTGTGGATGGGTTTTTTATTTTGGAGAGTAGATGTAATGGCAACGACATGCTACAAATTAAAATTGCATCGTCAAAAAGCAGGAAATGATCGTGGAGTAGCGAACCCCATGGGCTGAATGCCCTTGATAGGGAATTTCCAAGCAATTTCGTTGCCCAACAACTGAAATGCTTTAGTCTTAATATAGGGCTGGTATTTAAGATTGTAGGGCGATAAAAAGAAAATTAAAACAAATAAATATATGTCCCTTAACATTGTAATCAACAGGTCGTATGAGCTATATTTACATGGTGCAAATATGACAAAAAAGAGTTGGCTTATAAGCTTAGGCCCAAACTATAAACAAGCTTAAATAAATATTTACTAGTTTTGGTCAATAAGCTACTTGTTTTCGCAGAAATAAAGGAGAATAATACCTTTTTATGGCTTAAAAAATAGCAAGCTATACCTTAAACCCAGCCATAAAAACTAAAAATAATTTTGGTATATAAGCAGTGTTTTTCTGAACTTAATCCTAGGGCTTGCATTATTTAATCAAGATCATGAAAATACATCTCGGGGTCCTAATTATTTGCACTGCCACCCTCGAGAGAATAGTTTGAAGTGCAAACAGGCAAATAAACAGAACGAGCGAGCAAACAAAGTTTATAGAGTTATATACGAAACGGTAGTCAAGTGCCCTGTGTGCACATCGTTCAGATCTGCACTTCTATACTTCTATATAAACAGTATATGCATGTCGCATTGGCCCTGCCTGCTAAATTGTATGAATTAGGCGCCTTTATTTATCCCATTTATATAACTGACCGTTAAAGTTAAGTAAATATGGGAACTACATGTACAAAGAAAGCTGGCAAAAATGTTACGAAATGCAAATAAATAGAATGTCAGCGCTGCGTTTAGCAAGCATTAAATGTCGCGCACGAATCCAAAAGATACAGCTAAACGGATGAGATGCAGTTTCAGTTTTAGCTCCAGATACAGATACATGTGGAAATATAGATGTAACAGGAAAGGAAGCTAGATTTGGCAAGCCGAAGTTCATATACCCTTGCAGCTAAAACCATATTTTGACAATAAAATCATACATATGATGCAAGAACGGAAGATTTGTTTAAAAATAGACCTATAGTTCTTATCACAACTATATAATAAATTTAATATAATACAATTTGAAGTTTGGATATCATAAAAAATTGTGAGTTAAAGAGAATAAAACGAAGCTATCATTTGTTTAGTATTATCTTCATATTAATTTTCCTTATGTTACTAATGTAGCTTTATGATATAGTCATCTGATCAAAATTAATAAAATAATAATAATAAAAAATTATATACCACTAAGTTGAAGATAATTTTATATTTATAATTTGTTTCGTAATTTGTTTGCATTATTTTTTCGATTATTTCCATACCAGCTATATAATAAAGTCAACCGATTAAAAACTATTTTATTACAAATTCTGAAATACCAAAGGAACACTATATACCAGAGTAGAAGGGATAAGATCAAAAACCACGAAACTAAATTTTTTGTGTCTAATAATGCTGATTAAAAATAAATATACTGTATATATCTAAAGATATATCCTCTGCAAGGGTATAAAAATGAATAAATATATAGATTAAAATAGTTTCACATCAATCACAAAGCGCGTTCGTGTTTTCTCTTTTCCAGATTTCGACGTTAGTTGTCTATTTCAATAATTGGTGGGAGTAATATCTATTAGGCATTATCGTGCATTGATAATGACAGACTGTAACAATAAATGCCTTGGATTAAAAACAAAAAGCAATGTTTAAAAATGTGATTAAATTTGAATGACAAGTTTAGCAATGCCAGGAAAGTTTTTAGAAGAGGGTGGCTTAAATGATTTTAGTTTGCGTCGCAATGAAGCAGACATTTCCGAACCCATAAAGTAAGTGAACAATGTCTTCCTCGCTTTCTTGTTTTTCTTGCTTTTTTAAAAAATTTAATTATTAGAAAATTAATAACTGGAATCACCTAGCTTAAAACTACTTACGAAATAACCCTTTTTTATTTTTTAAATGGAGTAAGCTAGCTCAAGACCATCAAGACCACCTAAAAACCCAACCGACCCATTACGGGTCTTAACCTTTTTTCATGAAAGGGGTCCTTACTATTTACTGTTAAAAGGTCAAACAACTTTTTAAGTAGGGTTCTCATGCTACACTTACCCCCTTATAAAAAATACGACTGAAAAACCACAAAAAAAAAGAGTACTTTTGACGAAAATCTGAATTCCAAAAATGCGAAAATGGGTCAAAAAATAAATGTTCCTTAAAGTGATAGGGATCGATAGCATTTGTAGCAAGCTGCTCAAAACAGTCGGTCTTTTAGCTGTACGCCTTAATTTGACTAAACTACGACTGAAAAACCACAAAAAAATTAGTATTTTTGACCAAAATCTGAATTCCAAAAATAACTGATGTACCACCTTATAAAAAATGCGAAAATGGGTCAATAAATAAATGTTCCTTAAAGTGATGGGGATCGATAGCATTTGTAGCAAGCTGTCCAAAACAGTCGGTCTTTTAGCTGTCTGTAGCCTTAATTTGACTAAACTACGACTGAAAAACCACAAAAAAATTAGTATTTTTGACCAAAATCTGAACTCCAAAAATAACTGATGTACCCCCTTATAAAAAATGCGAAAATGGGTCAAAAAATAAATGTTCCTTAAAGTGATGGGGATCGATAGCATTTGTAGCAAGCTGCTCAAAACAGTCGGTCTTTTAGCTGTACTCCTTAATTTGACTAAACTACGACTGAAAAACCACAAAAAAATGAGTATTTTTGACCAAAATCTGAATTCCAAAAATAACTGATGTACCCCCTTATAAAAAATGGGAAAATGGGTCAAAAAATAAATGTTCCTTAAAGTGATGGGGATCGATAGCATTTGTATCCTTATAATCAGGGATCCTTCTTATGCTTCTGAATAGCCTTTCACCCTATCCATATAAACCATATAAAGTTCTAGCCACTGAATCTGGTCAAATCAGGTCAACACCAGTTCAAAGCGGTCTTTGTGGCTGGTTAGTTAATACGGGTGTTTATGATGCAAACACATTCGATCGGCTCACATCAGCTGTGACCATTATTATACACATTGTAATTGATGCATATGAATTCCGATTATATTGCATTTGCATGAGCATTCGGTTCGTAATTTGCATTCAAACATTGCGTTTCAGGATGGTAAAGATCTAGAAAATACATGACCGATTATTTGTAAAAATTGTTTAAACGTTATTTTGAATATTTTAAAATCTATAAAATCATTATATACGAGACTAACTTATAAATTCATTTATTTAGATATTTGTAAAAGCATCCTTCCAGTGCCGAACCGCACTGTATTCCGTATAGTTTAGTCCAGGGCATTGTAATCGCATTGCATCGATCTCAATCGCATATTGATAGTGCCAGCTGTGCCAGCCATTTCGATTTTTATCGAATACTCTAGTACCCTGCAGCTAGGATTGATCTAGCAAGATCGTACTTAAAAAGCATTCAAAATTGAATTTACAAACAGTCAGAATATACCTGGTCGAGTGCAGATTTATTACTATTTATATTTCCAATTTATCGTTTGTTGTGACTTGACTTTCCGCAGCTAAACGCTTGTTTATTGTTATTACGACACTGCGCGAGGCAAACAGATAGCGGCCCAGAAAACAAATAGAGTCATACGTATTCTATAACATCTCATGGAAAGCGGAAACTATACGTTAACAACTCCCAACAGGTTGATGTATTTCATCATCTATAGTATTGGCACACAATTGTGCGATTCGATAACTAGACTGGAACCAATCAAACTAATCTTTTTTTCAAGGACATCAGTTAAAAGGATACTATATCTTGTTTATTAAGACTACGATTAATTATTAAGATAAATTACATATGTTATTCTTTATTAAGTGAATACTTAGATCTTCATCTTAGTAATTTATTTAAATCAATAGAAACATGAACTATTAATCATACTTTAATATTTTCAGTTTATAATGACTTTATTATCACGGAAATATTACTGAATTAAAGACTAAGTAATAGAGATGACCCATGAAAAATTATACAAATTTTAGCACTCCTAAGTTGCTTAATTTTGAACCCCCATATGATTCACATGACAAATGCAAACCACGTGCATTTAACCATTCGTTTAATAAGAAAACCCGGTGAACCCGAATGCGCAAACATTGTAAATTTCCCGAGATCTGCAAAGTCAGGTGGGCAGGGTGGAATCACCTTATATGGAGGAATCGTCACGCGCAATTGCGAATGAGTTCAGTGAATTTGGACGTTGAGGAGAATGTAGAATGTGATGGACGATGGCGGTGGAGGTGACTGTGATCTGGGGATGGCGCCGCATCTGATCTTTCGGCAAATACCAGAAGGGGATTACTGGGCTAAGTTCCCATTTCGAGTGCGGGGCTTATCGCCAGCGCCACCAGAAATAACCTAAAAAACTGACTGAGGAAGAGTAGGCATTTCTGGCATTCTGTTTCGAGTGCATGAATATGAAGTATTTCTCTTTATTTGCAAATCATTTAGTTAGAGCCATAAACGGTGGGACGCGCCATTGAAACCGAGCAAACACCACCGAATCAGGCCATAAAAAAAGCAGAGCAGCCGCGTACTATAAACTAGGCAAACAGCGGGATCTCCTCGGGACCCACTAGTCCAGTGTCAGGGTCCACCACCACCCCCTTCAATTGGTGGAGACCTTGAAGACCTTGAAGAAGAGCACGACACAGGTCTTTAGATCCCCGGCGCTCAGGTGGACCACTGCCTTGAGGTCCCCAGCAATGTCCACATGGGGCATGTTCTTTATGAACTCATGGTTGCTCACATTGTTCAGGGTGTAAATGTGCTGGGAAATGGACAAAAATAATATAAATAAATCGTTAAAATACTTAAAATCGTTATAAACTAATTGTACTATATAAATTTTAACGTTTTAACTAAAATGCCCTAGTATTTAGATACGATTATGATTGAAAAATAAAGAAAAGTTTAAATAATATAAAAACTTTGGAGTTAAAGTACATTTTTAAACATTAAACAACATTAATAACCAATATTATAAAGCTTGTTAAAATAATGTGGTCCCTTACCTAAATACCCACATATGTACATTTACTTACCCCCTTTCCCGGAGGACAAATCATCTCGATCTCAGGGATATTTTTAAAAATGGGATACCACAGTTCCCAAGGATTGATCAAGGCCTTGCATAAGCTCTCCCTTTTCAGGCTAAGAGGAGTTGGAAGCCATTGGCTCCGTTCCCAGCGGAATACATCGACCTGCATGCCAATCGGACCACTTGGCAAATCCATCAGCATCTTGATGTCGCCCCTGTAGAACAAAGTCTCCAGATCGTCGGCTACTTCGAAGGACAATCCGCCTATGTCCAAAATTTCCCGAATTGGTGTATTACCCTTGTCTTCTGAAGCTTCGCAAACGATGTCCATGGTCTTCTCATCGCCGATTACCTCGTAGGTGGTGCTCTAAAAAAATTTACAAATTAAAACGTAACATTTATAAAAAGCAATATTATTTTAGTTTAATTTAAAGGGATTACGCTAATAATAATAATAATAAAAATATAATTATTTATCATTCGATTTCTTTTTGAATAATATATAAAAATGAACATTTTATAGACATCCTTTAAAAAGAAATGTTTTTACAACCGACTTTTACCCGACTTCCTTGTATGAATTGAAGGATGCAAAGCAAGCCAACAATTCCACCGATCCAGTGCTCCATTTCGTGGCTTTAGAAGATCTCCGGCAGTTGCAACAAATTTATAGAGCCCTCTACTAATTGACCATCAATTAGCCAACGCTGTTCGCATTGTTTTACTAATTGCCAAATTAAGTTGTACATATTTTGTGTAATTGCCGATGCAGATAGTCAAAAATGCGATTCAGATTCACCGATCGTAGCACCCTCAACAAAATAAAAAACAGATCAAAGCACACTGAAAACAACAAGAGGAGGAGAATCAGCATTCGGCAGGCGTATTCCGGAAGGTCGGAGCCCGGATTCGTCCGGAAGTGGGTCGCTGTCTCAATGGAACACCCATGTGCACATCACGCATACGTCGTGTGCGCCTGCGGGACAACGAGTGCGACTGGCCAATAAAATAAGCAAACGCACTTGACCCTGGACAACCGACCGACTTGGGCTTGGTTCGCGTTCGCGTTCGCCGATTCTGTTTGTAGGCCATGGCTGCCGTAAAATATTAAAATTGGGCCGCCACACGACGCCCCTTATCCGAGTTATCCGATGATAACAGAGAGCCTCTTCGCAATGGCCATAAAGCGAAAACAAGGCAAAAGCCAGAACAGCAGCAAAAACGCGTGGCCATTGCTCGTTTTTATGGCCTGCGAGTGGAACGAAGTGCTCCGGTACAGTAGCATACTTATGGGATGTGCTTAAAGCTAACACAAGTAACATGTCATAGCTATCAGCATTAGCATTTAAACTTTAATCTTTAAAAACAAGTTTAAATGGAAATACTTGTTTCCTTCTCTTAAAGACAAAACTGAATTTTTTGATACACCTACTAATTAAACATTTATTACCTACTTATTTGGTAGACATTTAAAATTGTTGAACTTTTTAAGCTTACGTTTAAGTCTTAACTATAAATATATGCTAGAAGTAGATTGAACAAATTTATAAGCTTTTTAAATTAAATTTTTACAATTACTTAAATCATTATATGAACAAGTTCCAATTATTTCATGTTATAGTTTTTTCTTTTTAACATTCTAGTGTATTTAAATAACTTATAAATAGTTGGGTAGTCTTGGAATTTTTCGAAATATTTTTTACAGTCCTTCATTTTATTCCAGACTTACAAGAACATTTTTATTTTGTACAAAATTGCAAAGTCACCGATAGACATTTACATTACATAGAAACACAGAACTTCACATTGGCATGGACACATTTTGCAGCTGAATTGCTAATTTAACATTACTTGATTTACGAGTCGAAATTGAATTGCGATACAGAATTTCCACTGTAGAATTTGTGCGAAACCTAACTTAAGATTTATAACTTCTCTTAAAACGTATCACGTCTGGTACTCAGAATTGTCTTTGATATATGGCCTAACTAAAATTTACATTCAAACACTTTGGCGTGTTGATAGTCTTGAATCAGTCTGTTGGATGGTCTATGGGAGTTTTTGGAGCCTGTGGGATTGGCTTTCCGTAGAGCAGGACTTTGGCCAGAATGGACTTGCAACCAGAAGAGCGAGCATCGCTTCCCCTGATTATCTCCTCAATGTGTTCGTCGTCCAGCTGCACCTTCGCAATCTTTGCTTCTCGGCGGATACAGTCGACCAGATGGTCGGGTTCCAGTTCAGCATAGGTGATAACATGGGTGCCTGGCATTTGCTTAAGCGTCTCCATATCTACCTCATAGTCTTCGTCGGCTTGCAGGCGATTAACGCTGAAGATGAGCACCACAGACAACTGTTTCAGGTGCGGCTGCTCAGTACTGTTGGCGATGTCCTCGTACCCCTTTATCAGTTTACTGATGACAGGCACATACTCGGCATCCTCGGGTAGCATGTTGTCGATCAGGATAAGATTCTGGCCGCAATAAACGAGATGCGAAAGCATGCCCTGCACACGGACCACCGACCGGTCGCCGTTCCACGAAAGGGTCTTGACATTCTCAGGCCATGGATAATGATTGCGCACAAGCTGCGCCGTGAAGCTCTTACCCACGCCAGAGGAGCCCACCAAAGCGATGATCTGGTTGAGGGAAAATAGAGGGTCATTATAAAACCAAATATTATAAATATAGGTATTCATACATAACAGAAGAGGTTCCAGAATATTTCATATAAACCTAGTGTATCAAAAATGAGGGATATAACGTATATTTGTGCCAATTGATCAATTGACACTTTTAATTGTGCTCTGACTTAAAATTTTAAATGCGCATAACTGATCAAGTTAAGGTGCCAAATAAAAGCAGTCCATATAAAAGGCATATGTAACTATTTGATTGCGAAAATCGTACTGAAGTTGGTTGACCATTCTCAAAGATATAAGCAAATAGACCGGTGCATATCACGAGATTCTCAAATCAAAACAAAAGGAAACGCTTTAGTTGAGTTCCCTACTATCATATACCCATTTCTCTGTTAAACAGAGCCTCTGACTGGAGCTTGCCATTTGTGGTCGTTAAAGTGGGGGTGGCAAACCTCTTTTTGGTTAGTCTATACGTATTCTTTACCTGAAAACTGTGGATGCTACAGAATGTAAGATTACTTCTCATCAAAGATCTCTAAAAAGCTTTTAAGTTCCTATGCATTAGGCTCCTGGCTATGTGTTTATGTGGGACACTATACCATTTAAAGTACAAGAAAGGTCTGGCCAGGATGTTCCTATGTTATAGTTACTACTATAATAGTCCCGCCGATTTCATAGTACCTCTCATCAAAGGTACGTTAAAAGCTTTTAGGTTCACTACACACTATACAATTTAAAGCTTTGTTGGGGCTATAGACAAGTAAGACTAAGTGTGTCCACAACTGGCATGGGAAAGGTCTGATCTGGATGATCTTATGGTAAAGTTACTACTATAATAAGGAGTCACAAGTCCCCGTTAATCACCTCGCGATTGGGACTGTCCAGTGCAACTTCCAGTTGGTCCAAGGCCTGCTCCTGGTGCAGCACGTGGGGCCGGGCGTGCGAGACGATGCTGCCCAGTCGCTGGGAGCGGTCGCAGAAGTTGTCCCGGTTGTTGACGATCGAATGGTACTGGTTTGTGTAGCTCTCCAGGAATCCGCCGACTGTGGGCGAGTTGTTGTTGAACTGCAGGCACAGACCCAGTCCAGAGCAGATGATGAGGACAATAGATCCCCAGGTCCACAAGGGCATCTTCTTGCGGGACAGGGACATGTTCGCCTCCTGGTCACGGCGTGACCGCTTCCTGCCACTCCGCTCGGCGACAATCAGACGACGGAGGCGCTTTTGCAACTGACTATTGCCTGTTCTCCAGGTCTTGGGGGATTCGTGGTTGGAGTCTCGCCGCCTGCCGGATCGCGTCCTGTTCTTGTGGAGGGCCTGGGCACCCTGGCTTGGAGTCTTGTCTGTGGCCATATGTAAACACTTACTCGCACTTTGCGGCAACAAATTTTGTGAGTTTGAAACAAACTTGTGAAAAAGATAGGAAATGTATGAAATAAAACTAGTGTGTGAGCAAAATTGGAGCTGTTGCCTGTCCGAAACAACCAATGGAACTGCCAGAATCGTATCCGGCGACAAGTTAGGAAAAATATTAGCCTACTTTACTCACTTTTTTGGAAATTAGCGTTTGCAACCGGTAAATTATTTTAAATGCTGCTTCATAGTGTGGCCGTTATTAGGTATTTTTTCCATACGGTTTATTTATGTGAAGTTCTAGTATTTTTAAAACAAATTTATTTAGAGCTTGTAAACATTTAGGGTATTCCCTAAACGGCTGATATGGTTAATTTTGATAATTTAAGCAAGCAACAACCTAGAAGTTGGTGAATTGGTGAAAACCGGAATTGTCAACATATTTTATTGATAATATTAATATTATCACCTTAAATTTTTGTGACGAGAAATTATTATTAAGAAATTATTATTATTGTTTACATTTTTCTCCTTCGGCACGATGAAATACAAAATGCCTTTTTAGGCAAGCAGCTGCACTATTTTGATGAACCTTGTTAATAGCCTCTCCCTTATACAGAGCTTAAAATAGGAGTTGTCACAAAAATATTTTCGGGCGTAATTCGGTGAAAATTAGTATTGATGGTTACGTACATTTCGCCCGAAGAGATTTCTGTGGCACCTGCGAATAACCCTATTTTTCTGTGGTATATTTACGGTATATGTACGCAGTCAGTATATTTTTCCCGCCGAATCAGAAAACGGCCAGCTTGCGTTGAAAATCATCTGTCTGTCTTCTTCGTCCCGAATTCTCAATATATTATAATATTAAATTAATCTCCAAGCGTTAGCCAGTCAATCCGATCCGATACGCAATGACGAACGAGGAAGTGGGCACCAACAGCGTCGCCGACCGCCTGCAGGTGGGTCCGCGCGAGGGCGTCACCTATCCCATCCAGATGAAGTACTGCGGCCACTGCACGATGCCCATTGAGGTGAGTTAGCCGGAGAGGCTTGGGGAAAATCCATATTTCCTGTGCGCACACATGTATTCATATCCTGCCCTTGATCCGCAGTACTGCGAGTACTATCCGGAGTACGAGAAGTGCAAGGAATGGCTGGAGCGCCACATGCCAGACGACTTCGAGCGCCTAAAGATCGAGGAGGAGGCGGCCGCCGCCGACGGAACAGATGACGATAAGAAGCGCCAGAAGCGCGGCGGCAAGGGACTGCTGCGCGTCAAGAAGAAGGAGGATGTGCCCAAGCGCATCTGCGTCTCGCGGGCGGCCCGTGGCAAGAAGAAGTCCGTGACCGTGGTCACAGGACTGAGCACTTTCGGTGGGTCTAATATATCAGTTCATACCTTTTACTCGTCAGTCCAAGAGCTACAAGGAGATGGGACTAGCCCACTCCGGTTTTATTTCTACAAGTCCTACATATTCATGACTTGGTTACCTATTGATTGTACCGGTTCCCTTTCGTTTCCACAAAACCTATGTAAAAGTGAAAACAATAATACTTTCCCTTTAAGATACACCACCTAATCAAGTCCCTCCACAACATATTTATATTCTTTACTTGATTTCTAAGGCATTTATTGACCAAGAAAAACCATCAAATTATCATTTATCTCCTCCATTAATAACTTCCCCCACCTTTCCAGACATTGATCTCAAGGTGGCCGCCAAATTCTTTGGCACCAAGTTCGCCTGCGGCTCTTCGGTGACCGGCGACGATGAGATCGTTATCCAGGGCGACGTCAAGGACGACTTGTTTGATGTCATACCCGAAAAGTGGGCCGAAATCGACGAGGATGTCATCGAGGATTTGGGCGATCAGAAGCGAACATAAATAAATTAATCAATTTTTTAGCTTATTTTATACGCTACATCAAACATAAAAATATGAAACGTTAAACGTAATAAGCATGTGAGTTATTTAGTTGGCGGCTCCGGGGGGTTTTCCGCATCTACTTGATTTGTTTCCGCTGCTGAGGGAACAGCATCAGCTGGGGGAGAAGCTTCAGTGGCTGGCGGATCTGTTTCCATTGCTTGGGGAGCAGCTTCGGTTGCAGGGGGAGCAGTTTCTGTGGCTGCTGAAGCGATTTCCGTTGGTGGGGGAGCAGTTTTTGTGGCTGCTGGAGCGGTTTCCGTTGCTAGAGAAGCAGTTCCAGCTGCTGGAGTGGATTCAGCCGCTGGATTGTTCTTAGCTCGCTTCCCAGATTGCTTGCCCGTTGTCTTCCCAGTTGCTTCTGCTGGTTTTTCAACCGGTGTATCCTTAGTTTCTCCACCATGGAAGTGCTTGTAGCTCAGCTGGATTATCTTCTCGTTCTCCTCATCGGTAAGTGGAGCCTTATTGTCGTCGATGAGCTGGATAGGTAGAATAAGGTTATTATATGTATATTATATAGATATATCCCAAACTAATCCTCACCAGCTGCGTATGAAGAGCACTTGTTGGCGGATCATTGATCATTTGAAGGACCTCGTGGGACTTCAGTCGATAGGAGGAAAGGTCCTTTACATAGTTCATGATGTTCTCGCGGGTTTGGGTTTTGCAGGGTGACTCCTCCAGATACTGAAGAGCCTGGGGAATCAAAATCCGGGTTAATTCACGATCATAGAGGTGCGTATTTTGAAAAATCAACAAACCTCATAGGTAACCGTGGCCAAGTTTCGCATGCCGAACTTCTTTTTTGTGCTCTTGATTTTCTGCAGAATCTGCATCACCTCCAGGTTGGTGAGATACGAAAACGTGGGGTTGATCCTGTATTGGAACAAAGGGTTTAAGATATCATTCAATGTTTAATTATTAACAAAGCAAAACAATTCTCACGTTTCCATTTTTTGAGTCGGCCAGTTTTAGTATGACCGCACGGCGGGTGTTGAAATATACCATGCCAAACAATACAACGGTAAGTTTACTTCTATAACTCCTAATTTTAAAAATAAGTAAAAGCTTAAAAATTTTATAAATTCAAGCAATAAGGATCATTAAAACTCCTCCTGTTGCGAAATTTACAAATCAAATTAAATACCGTGGCTTATCTGTGGTATTTCTGGTATATTTTTGTGAGCCCCGTTGACGGTCTCACCACAAAGGCGTCAAGTTTAACAGTACAGTTCATAACAGCGAATTCCGCCACTGTTATTGGAGTTGTGACACCTGCTGTTAAGCGCACAGGGGTGAATCTCGGTACCTTTGGAGTCCACAGTTGGCTGCGGGTGCAGACGGAGGATGCGGATGCGGTGATACTGGGATCCACAGCATGCATTCCCACACGAACGAGACGGCAGAGACGGCGGCAGCGACGGGCGTGGTCACGAATGGAGCAGGAGTATCGGGAGGAGGCGGAGGTGGAGGTGGAGGAGCACATGGCAGCACGGAGGGCAAGATCCGGTGCATCTTCCTCAGCGAGTTCCATGCCACGGCGGGCTGTAAGATTAGCTGCCAGGTGAGCCGGTTCCCAGGAACACTGCCTGATAGGATAATCCAATACAACAATCCACGGCCCACAGGTTCCCGATAACTACATATCCAAGGATGTGTTCGATGCCATCAATGTCTACATCATACCCAAGCAGCATCTGCAGCGCTGCATCCTCACCGTCAACGCAATGGACGTGAAGATCGTCGGCTATCCGGTGGGCATCCAGGATCAGCAGAAGTACGCCCGCAACGCCTTCCTGTTTAACCTATGCTTTGTCTGCGATTCGCGGGCCAGGAGCGTTCAGTACGAGCCGGTGGTGAAGAAGCTGTCCGAGTACCTTATCATGATGGAGGAGGAGTCCTGCTTCCTGTCGCGCGAGGACGACAAGCGCCGGCTGCAGAACATCTTCGAGACGGTGCTGCGCGACCTAAACGAGCGCAAGGTCGCCACTATTGTCGAGGGCGACAACACAATTTACCTGAAAATCGTCATGCACAAGCCGGATCCGCCGCCGGTCAAGGACCACATGGTGCCCTTGCTGCTGGCCAATCTGCGCGACGCTCCGCTGGACAATTGGGACCTGACCACGCAACAGGTGAGGGACTTAGTCTAGAAATAACGCTGGCATAGCTAGCACCCTGGCAGGGATTTTCCAAATCTAACTACATCCTCACTTTACCTTTTGAATAACATATAATCTCATTGGACTGCACTGTTTTCTCCGCTAGATCCTGCCTTATATCAACGGAATCAATCACGTTGCCCGGATCGCCGCTGAAGCGGACGTGGAAACGGATCTGGTGAAGTCGTGCATTCAAAACCTGGTCTACTACGGCGTCGTCCAGCTGCTGCCCATCCTGAAGTACAGCAACGTCTACATGACGCAGAACCTGAAACATCTCATCCAGAGTGCGTCGCTAAGCGGCGCCTGTCGGAAATACGTGGCCCTACGACCGGACAAGACGTTGCCCAGTGTGCAGCGGATCTTCCAGTTCTACGCCTCTATGACGCACGGCGTCACCCTGCGGGCCATTTGCCAGCGACTGGGCCCCCAGCACCACAACATCGATGAGCGGCGCATGGTGATCTTTGGGCTGCAGCACCGGTTTATTCGCTGCATCCACAAGTACCCGGTGTTCACGGGCTCAGTGCCTTCCGGGCGGCAGAAGATGTACACCGGGCTGATCAGCTTCGACGAGATCTGCTGCAAGACGGGCCTCTCGCCCAGCACCATAGAGCGGGACATCGAGAAGGATACGAATGTGACTGTGATCTGGAAGTGACGACGGAGAAGGCGTCTGGGTTTGTTGTAGTTTGTAGGCCAACCGATTGTTATGTTTCCAATAGCTTTTTTATATACACATATATACATATGAAAGGTTAACGAGCCGGTGGTTTGAGTTGGGCTGATCCCGGGCTTGGTTTTCCAGCTGAACGGCAATCAGGAACGCTCGGCGCTCGAGAGGATGGCATCCTGCACTGCCTGGGCCACACAGGCGTCCTCCGAAGCCATGCCTGAAGGTACAGAAATCACATACATATGGAAAAGAAAGAGATAGCCATAAATTCTAAGGTGCTAATGAAGTGAGTTGTAAATTAACGAAAGGAACGCACCCAAGGATTGGAAAATGGAGATGTCCGTTTTTCCGGGATAGTTTCTGTTGAGGATGATGGCACCCAGTTCAGCGGTGATGGGGCCTGGAAGACCCACCAATTCGGCCTCGGCATTGGCATAGCAATCCACATAGATCTTAGCCTGGCGGTAGATGTCGGGACTTAACTCCGAAAAGTGGACTTCGCCGGCACCGACAGCTGAAATTGGAGGTTTATAAAGGTAAATATCTTGTAGTCTCTCTTAAGTCGCAGACTCACTATTAATGTGAACGCTCTGTTTGCCTTTCAGATACTCAAGATGGACGAGCGGCTCGTTGGAGTAGGTGGCCACGCAGATGACATCGGCATCCTGACAAGCTTCTTTAGCACTCCGACAAACTATTATCTGTGTTTCGCTCTCGGTGCCCAGTTCCCGCTGCAGTTGCTCCCTCAATTTCTGGGCTTTCGCCTCCGTGCGATTGTAAAGACTGAGCTGTTTCACCCGGAAGTTGGCGCAAAAAGCGGCGGCATGGAGTTGCCCTTGGACGCCACAGCCCACGATGGCCACGTTGATCTCCCTCTCCTTTTCGGCCTGCGAACCAAAGCGTCGGAAGTACAGATACTTGGTGGCCACCAGAGAGGCGGAAACAGTGCGCCAGGTGGTCAAATCCGTGCCCTCCATTATGGACGATAGTTGACCAGTTTGGTTGTTGAAGAGCAGGACATGAGCATGGATGGAGGGTAGCGGAGGATCCAGCTGGGAGTTGGTCGAGAACGAGGTCACCAACTTGCAGGCCAGTGTGGAGCGGGTATTTCCTACTTCCCTCGGGGATTCCTTCGATCCCAGGCTGTAGTCTCCCACAAAGGCGGGCATGGTCAAGAGGACCTTGCCAGGTTTCTTGCCGCAGGCGGTGAAACTTCTCTTCGGTTGGATTGCATAGGAGGAGGAGGAGGTGGTCCCCAGATCCTGGGATTTAACTACAGCCTTAAGCGCCGATTCCACTGCTTCATTGACCAGCGGCCAGGTAAGAAATCGACGGACTGTATCCGCATTGTAATAAACTGGCGAACTGCCACTCATTTTTGTAGCAAATTAACTTTGTAAGTAGGGTATCTTCTCAGCCTTGCAGATTTGATATTCGTATCTACTTCTTTTTAAATTCTAACCTATAAAATATTTACTTGGTTAGAGCTGTGGAGTTTGAAATGTAACTTTTACAAAATCAGGTTGTAATTGATAATCCTAAATATTAAAGATCAGCTGACCAGTGGTGCTAGCTTAAGTGGAAAAACTGGTTGGTAAATAACTATGAAAAAAATATATAGGGTATTCAATTGCGTTGCAATCGTTTGAAAAGTGTAAAAGTGTAAGCAGTTCCAACAACAATTTCCATACAAAATAGTTTTCAAGGCCTACAACACCCCAGCCTATGTATACAAATCTGTTGTACTTGTGTAGAAATAGGGGGTTAATAATGGGTAGGAATTTTATCTAAAATACTAAAAATATACTGAAAAGTTGGGTTTTAATGACAGAAAATATCATAGCCTTCTTTTCACAAAAATTTAAAAGTTGGCGTTATTTTGTACGTCAATTTCCTGCAACGATATTTTAAAATAGAGGGCGTTCACAATTCTCGTCTGGCAAACTTACAAAGTTTACACTTTTGCAACGCAATTGAATACCCTAATAATCTTTAGGATTTCAAAAACGTTGGCTTAGTTTTACAACAAAAATGGGGTTTTTGAATTAATTTTTTTATATTCAACTTTTATTATATTCAAATCTTTGGTTACAGAAGTCAATTTCTACAGAAATTCTGGCAGCACTGTTTGTTCGATCACAAATGAACTAAAAAATACCGTTATTTTGTCAAAATATTAAATTGCGCCAAAATTTAGATGGTTTAAATAAGGAGATGGAAGTGAAAATTATGCAATAAAAAAGGATGAGTTAAATATTAATGATGAAAATTGTGAAAATCAAGCATTATACCATAGGTTTTCTGATAACGAAAGGTTGACGGTCAATTTATGTTCCCGCAAAAACGGCCAAAACCAAAACCAAATACCAATTTTCACGGGCGACTGTTTTTCCTCATTTCTAATGCAGTTTTCCCCATTCTTCGGCGTCGCTGGGAAAATGCATTTTCACCGCACGCCAAGGGCGAAACCGCAGCTCAAAAAAGGGAAACCGCTTCTGTCAACGGCTTTATCGCGCTGAAATAATTCTCGCAAACAGCTGGAAACTGAACCACATCCCACATCCACATCCACGTCCAATCCCATCCAATTGAAAAACCCCAGCCACCGACACGAAAGTGAAAAGCGAATGCACTTTTCCGCGGCTGCAGCTGATAGGAAAAATTAATTTATGCCCCGCCATTGTTTTTGGCCTGAGCCATTTTATTTTCCCAGCTGCTAATTCAAATTTTGACATAATTTCTTCACTGTTCGCCTCCGTCGCCTGCTTTCTCGCCTTTGTCCCAACCAATTTCACTTGACTTGACCTTTGCGCGGCTTTTCCATGGGTTTCCATGCACTAGCGAAAAAATCGCCATTCTATACTGTCATTGCGAATTTTGCTGGCTCATTTTGGAAATGCCTACCAATTCTGAATCATATTCACAGCAAAGATTGTGAAGTGCACAGAAATAAATTGTTCTTTACTTTTTAAGGATTCTTTATAAAATATTATAGTGCCACATAAAATTGTGACGAAACTTCTTGCCCGTAAAATATTTTAAAACATGTCTTAAAAAATAATTTTGAACTTTTTTTTTAGTCCGTTTGAGAAATATGATTTTAAATTATAAGGGGTTTGTTACTATCGGTTATCAGCACCATTGCTAAAGGTTTTCAATAATATACATATGTATTATAAAAAAACATTTTCTTTGTTTATTAGATTATTGATTTTTTTGTAGTTCTTAGAACGTAGTAGAAATATGATTTAAAAAATGAGGGTTATCAGAACTATTGTTTAAGGTTTCAAATAATAATAGTAATACATTTATTATAAAAATACCTTTTATTTGTTCTTAGACCGTAGTACAAATATGATTTTGAAAAATGTGTTTTTTACTATCGGCAATAACACCATTGTTAAAGGTTTCCAAAAATGAGGAGTTGGTTACTATCGGTTATCAGAATCATAATAATAATGTTTTATAAAATTACCATCTGTTTATCCAAATTTTTGAATTATTTTTTTAGTTCTTAGACCGTGGTACAAATGAGATTTTGAAAATTGTGGTTTTTTTTACTTTCGGTTATCAGAACCATTCTTAAAGATTTCCAAAAATAACAATTTATTTTGAAAATTTCTTTTCTGTGTTCATTAAAATAATAATAATATCATTGATTTGGCAAATTAATTAAGATTGTCAGATTTTTTAAAGATTATAAATAAAATGGAATTGCCTGGGATCTTAAAGACCTCCCTAGGGATATTTCCAAATTTATCTCAGTGCATGGGCTTGGGTTTCGGGTGGGTCCGGAGCCTTTTGTTGTGGTTGTGTGGTGGCGGCCTTGGGAATGTGCAGTTGCTGGCTGATTTATATTCGCCCCGGAGTGCCACAAATCAAAGTCGAGCTGCTGCCCCTGCTGCTGCTGACTCATTGGAGTGGCTCCTGGTTTGCTGGGGCGACCTGTTGCATGCCCCACTCCTGGAACCGTGGCGGTGGCACACCGCCGCAGAACCACCAGAACCACCAATCGCACCACCGGCAGCACCACTTCTAAGTGTTCTGACCTTGCTGGCGGGTAAGTGGCTGGCCATAAATTTTGGCATTGCGCAAAAGCCACCGCCAGGCTGCTGCTGCAAAAAAAACGCCCCGATTCTGATTTCGATTCCAATTCCAATCCCAAGAATCCATATCCGAAAAGTGAATTGTCGCCGACGCTTTGAATAAATTGCTAAACGATTTGGCAAGCGCCAAAACTTAATGGCCAAAAAGGATTTCGCCTCGGCGAGCATAAATTTGCTGGCCAAAATCAATGACGAGGCGCACTCTGATTGCATTTATTGGCCAACTATAGATTTAAGGTGTTCAATGGATCCGGAGGATACCTACACCGATTTAACTTATTGCTCTAGTTTTCATGTATGGATATTTTAAATATTTATCTATCCCTTCTTCATGTATCTGTTAATTTATTAATGTTAATGAATTGGTATTCAGTCACATTGTAATATATTAAAATTATTTTATGAAATGATTTTTAGATTTGTATCGCAACCTGTTTTGCTGCAGGAGATACTTTCCGTTTTTTTAGGCCCTTCTTTTATAATACTATATTTAAGAAAGTAAAGTTTCAATAAATATGTAGGTAAATTCAATTCTGAGTGAAATAATATTACTTTATTTTTGAAATATATTTTTATTGCAATTAAAATTGTGGTAAAATTTCAAAAATATTGAAATAGCTTTCAAAAATCTTTTAGAAACATTTTCGAAAACTTTAGATAATGCCACTCTGAGTTTCTAGGATTTTATCTTAAAGTTGCTGAAAAGCCAACCAAAATTGTTTATATTTAAGCCATTTTCGCTGGCGGCTTTTGAAATTGTAACTGTAACGGTAACTGTAATAGTTATAGTAATAGTAATGGCAAAAGTGTACTAAGCCACACACAGATACAGAACGTTGCCACACCTTTTCTTCGCGGAGCTGGATTTTAATTTTTTTACTGCCTTATTTTTGCTTAGTTTTTATTTTTGTTATTGTTTTAGTGCGCGCCCGCACACTCGGCCAACACACAGATACACACTCACACTGGCGCAGTTCGTAGGTTAGAAAAAGGAAAGTCGACGAACGCGAAAAACTCAGAGCCCGAAGTTTCGTATTTTGTATTTTGTATTTTGTATTTTGTAGATCAATCTTGGAATGGGTTTGTGCCGTTAGCCGCCGGCGACGTCGTCGCTCACTAAAATGTTGTTTGTCCTTGGAGAATGTGGCAAAAAAGATAGAAAAATTGTATGGAAAAAAATTGTAAAATTATAATATACATATGCGCACTGTTACCGTTGAAATGCACTGGGAAAAATTCATTGCGATGCCAGATTTAACATTAATTACTCAATAACTTTTTTATCCCTCAAAAACCTATAGTAACTACTGCATTCTAGTTTAAAATGTGTTTTACGATTTGTTTGCTTAAGTGCACTCAACTCATTAAGGGGGAATTCTGGAACATATTTTATGCAGCATACTTTCCAACACAATTGCCTAGGACTTCATCTTAAAGGAGTTCTCACACCCCAAAACCGCTCCTGACAAGTCCTGACTAAATTATTAATGAATTAGTTTTTAAGAAGTTTTGTCATCACATTAAATATATTTCATTGATATTTATCAAATATAATTGTTATTCTTTTAACTTTCAAACTAAATAAAAAATGAATTGAATGTAACAAAATGTTGTATTTAAAATATTTTTAAAAAATAATTACCTGTATAGGAAATGATCAGAATACATTACATTGTTATTTGAAATCTTCCAAAAATGTTTTAGGACTAGAATGAAAATTAAATGATTTTTTTAATGGCTTAATGAGATATTAATATTTATAGAAAATTCTAATTAATTTATGAAAAAAGGCTACCTATTTTTGATACCAATGAAATAGGAAAACTTGCTGGTGATAATTTTTTCCAGTGCTGAGATATGTGTGTGAACATCGTATTTAAATATTTAAAAATTTTTTTTACCTATATAGAAAATTACCTGAATAATTTAAAGTCTTCCAAAAATGTTTTAAGATTAGAATGAAACACAATTTGGTTTTTTTTAATGCTTTAATGTAATATAAATATTTATAACAAATTCTAATTAATTTATGAAAAATATAATATTTCCAGTGCTGAGATATATGTGTGCAAATAAAATATTAGTGTATTACAATTTTTAAAAATATTTACCTATATAGAAAAATACCAAAATACAAAAAATCATTTTTTGAAGTCCTCAAAAAATGTTTTAAGATTTGAATGAAACACAATTTTGATTTTTTTAATGTTTAAATGGTATATAAATATTTAAAAAAATTATAAAAAAATGTTGTGAAACTTGGGGTGATAATTTTTTCCAGTGCTGAGCTATATGTGTGCACATATCTGACGACGGCTATAATTGTGCCGTTATGTTTAGCGTTGGCGCCGCACCCAATGGACTCCACTGAACTGCCCGCTCCCGCTCCCGTTCCCCCTCCCCTCCCCTTTACCTATGCCCCATACCGCCCCCTCCCACCCAATAACCCCACCCCCCGCTCCACCAATTAGATTCGATCGGCAAGTATTATTTCTTGTTATTGTTGTCGAACTCATTGCAGCCATTGCCTTAGCTCGCCTTTGTCTAATGATTTCGATTATTGGTTTGTTTTATTTTCCTCCTTTTTCTCGGGTTTTGTAGATATTTTTTTTCCATTTTACAACTTCCGTCTGTGCACTTTGCGTTGAGCATAAAAATGCTAGAATGAAAACAAATGCAAATTGGAAATGAAGTCAAATAAAAGCTGGAGCAAGTGGTGGTTGCTTACAAATTTAACGATATTTATAAGACATTTTTAGAAAGTGATAATATAACAGACAGTACATAAACCAATTTTAAGAATCTTATCAGATTTTTGTTATAATTTTATTTCTCCTATGAATTCAAAATTATCAATGATCAATGATTAATTGTCAATGATTATCATGATATCAATTAATATTAACTTAGATAATGTGAACATATTGATTTAACTAAATTTATATTCAAAATTTGAGAATTTTTTTTATAAGTAATATTTTATTGAAATAACTTAGTTTAGGAACAAATGGTTCCTTTATTAAACTATAAATGTAACCCTTTTTAATTCAAGTTATTGAAGACTTAACAAATGCGAATATCCTAGGTTGGCAAAGAATATTTAAGAAATAACTTAGTTTAGGAATAATTGGTTCCCTTATTAAATTATAAATGAAACCCTTTTTAATTAGATTACCTGAAGACTTCAAAATTTTGAATATCCTGGGTTGGTAAATAATATTTATAAAATAACTTAGTTTAATGGTTAGTTTTATGGTGCCTTTGATATGTTTTAAATGGAACCCTTTTTATTTACAGTACTTAAAGACTTTAAAAATGCGAATATCCTGGGTTGATAAATAATATTTATGAAACAACTTTGTGTAAATAACTTTAGTATATGGTTCCTTCATTAAATTCTAAATGTAACCCTTTTTATTTAGAGTACTCTAAGACTTATAAAATGCGAGTATACTGGGTTGGTAAATAATATTTATAAAAAAACTTAGTTTAAGTAACTTTAGTTTATGGTTCCCTTGATAAGTTATAAATGAATCGCTTTCATATTTAGAGTACTTGAAGGCCTTAAAAATGCAAATATCCTGGGTTGGTAAATAATATTCATGCGCTGGCCCTTAATAAGACTTTATGGCTGCAATTGCTGCACTTCAACTGCCCGACTCATTTCAGCTGGCTTTTTCGAACGCCCACTGACTAATCCAGGGCCTAATATTTCAGAGGCCTATGATTAGCATATTCCCCCCGCCCAAGAGTTTTTCCCCCCTTCTCTAAGCCGTGTTTCGTTTCCACTAACTTGGCTTTCAGTCGTTCCACTGGCTTTCAGTCGTTTCGGCCACGATCGGTTTTCTTCGTCTGGGATTTTTCGGTTCAGCTCGGTTCGCTTCCAGACGGGTCTTTCTTTATCAGCCAGTCAGTCAGTGTTTCGCTTTCGGCCAAAGCTGACGAATTTCCTCTTCTCGCCAAAAAGCCCGGCCAAAACGGGCAGGAGAATCGTTCAAAAACTTGGCGGGTGTGAAGTGAAGTGACTTATGAATTGATCAAATTTATCACTACCTATATATATATACATATGTGAATTACCCACATTTTTTTGTTAACAGATTTTTCGCTAATGAACGGATCGTACCTTAGTTATTTTTTTTGTACTCCTTTTTGTTTTTGTGAATCAAGTAATACACAAAAAATATATATCAAATTATTTAGCAGTGAAATATGAAATACAATACATCGGCAGCAGCAACAAGTAATAATAAAACAAAGCCAAGCGAGAGAAACAAAAAATTCTAATATGCAAATTAAATAATTTTGTTTATGGTGCAGTCGAAAGAATTTAAAAAAAAAAATAAAAAGAGTCCCAAAACAAATATACAAAAAAATATTATATGAAAATTGAACCTGTTCTGATGGAGGCTGGATCCGGCGATTGAGGTAAGCTGATTTATTTTGGCCTAATCATATGCATATACTGCTTGAATGCGTCGCAATACATCTCCGATAAAGAATCGCTAATGGAATCCGATGATCTGATTCCCCATTGTTGTAAGTCATAACCAAATGACCATTGACCCTGGCCCATTTCTGATTTGATTTGGGCTGCAGTTCTGCTACGTTGACTTGGACTTGGCTTTGGCTTAGCATTAGCATTAGCCAAAACCAAAAACACTTCCGATCCCACTGAACCGCAACCATCTAGATGGAAGAAAGACGGCCTTGCCCATGAAAGAACCAGAACCCACTACCAGGGTCTCTATATACCATGCTTTTTAGGGGGAGGAAGTCCGGTCGGACTGAAGGATGACCGAGTGGCGGAATTGAAGCAAGGTCTTGGACTCTATAAATACTGAAGATACTCTAAAGTTTTATGGCAAAGATATTTTTATTTTTTAAATTTGAGGCATAGCACCTAGCCCTTTAAAGGTTGATCGAGTGGCGGAGTTGAAGCCAGGTCTTGCGATCTATAAATACTAATCATACTGATCAGTTTAAGAGTAAATATATTTTTATACCCGTTACTCGTAGAGTAAAAGGGTATACTAGATTCGTCGGAAAGTATGTAACAGGCAGAAGGAAGCGTTTCCGACCCCATAAAGTATATATATTCTTGATCAGGATCACTAGCCGAGTCGATCTAGCCATGTCCGTCTGTCCGTCTGTCCGTCTGTCCGTCTGTCTGTCCGTCCGGATGAACGCTGAGATCTCGGAAACTATGAGAGCTAGGCTATTGAGATTTGGCGTACAGATTCCTGAGCTTCTTACGCAGCGCAAGTTTGTTTCAGTAGACTGCCACGCCCACTCTAACGCCCACAAACCGCCCAAAACTGTAACTCCTACAGTTTTGATGCTAGATAGAAAATTTTAACTGAAATGTATTGTTCTCATCAATACCTATCGATTGACCTAAAAAAAAGTTTGCCACGCCCACTTAAACGCCCACAAACCGCGAAAACCTGTGACGCCCACAATTTGCATGCTAGATAAAAAATTTTAACTGAAATGTATTGATGTCGTCAATACCTATCGATTGATCCAAAAATAATTTTGCCACGCCCACTCTAACGCCCATAACGCTTAAATCTGTCTACCGCCGGTAGGTGGCGCATTTTAATTTCGCTTTGCTGCTTGCATATCTCCATTTCCCTTTGAGTAACGGGTATCTGATAGTCGAGGTACTCGACTATAGCGTTCTTCCTTGTTTTATTTGAAATTTGAGGAATAGCACGTTGCACTTTGAGGAATGATCGAGTGGCGGAGTTAAAGCTCTATAAAAACTTAACGTTTTTATCAGTTTTGCAGTTAAAATATTTTTATACTTGAAGTTTAGGGAATAGCACGTTGCACTTTGAAGAATGATCGAGTGCGGAAATTGTCTATAAAAACTGACCATTAAATTCTGATCAGTTTTGCAGTAAATATATTTTTATATTGAAATTTAGGGATTAGAACCAGAGAATTAATTATTCTCTTAAAACAATACAATGAGTACAAAAACATTGAGATAAGAATTGGTAATACTAATACATAATGTACTTTATAAGTCTTAGGAATCTTTGAAGTATCCCAATTATTTTCACAATGCACTTTCAAAATACTTCTAATAATCAAAAAATAATTGTTTATTATTGTATCATTTGTAGATCATTAAACTCCATCCATAAATACTAGTTTATATCTCTAAACTTATTTTCCAAATTGAATGTACTTCTTATGAAAGTAAAAAATGATAAAATGGATAAAAGTTCAGAGAAGATATATTCTTAAAAATAAAACCTTTAAAAGGTCGAGTGCAATCTTTTGCAAAATATTCCAATCGAAATACAGAAAATATATTTTGAGAAGTCATTATGAAAAATATTTCCTTCATTTTCTTACACAAAAATAGGTATACATATATACTTTCTAGGCTTTCAAATCTTTGTTGCGACTTAAGTGTTCCTTGAACACCTTCTTTATTTATGGTTTTCGTATTGGGGTTACCCCATCGCTTACCCAACTTTCGGCTGCATCCAGTGGAGTGGAAAAAGGGACCCGCAATGACCACAAGTTGGCAGCTTTTGCGGCATTAAAGAGCATTTTAAGCACTTACCTTTTGAACCGACCCAGTTCCATATGTCACAAAAGAACAGCGTCAGTCGGTGGTTTGTGGCTCGTTGGTGTTGCCTCCACTCCTCCATTTAAGGCACCCTATAAACGTCACCCCCCCTCCCCTCTCATCTTCCTAAAAAAGATTCAAGACCCCCGATCGCGTTGATCCATATGCGCATAAAGCAAATTGCATTAACATTTAGGCCTACGCGCAGTGCCGCCCACTTTGCGACTGTGCCGCCGCAAAAGTGCCATCCCACTCGTTCCCCGTTCCATTCTGCCCGTTTCCCCGTTCCATTACGCATCGTTCCGCCTTTGCTTTATCAGCACTTCAACTCCAAGCGATCAGTCGCAATTCAAAGTGCGCGCTGTGCGGAGCAATTTTTAATCGCTCAACCGTTTTCCGACGGCGGTTCTTTTCGAAAACCAGCAAAAAATGGGAATTTCGTATATTATCAATAAAAATTTCGCATAAAACGACTAACGGTACTGGGCATGAACTGCCTATAAATGTGATTTTTATCAGCTATAAAGCTGTGATTTTTTTTGGGTTTATTTCGCCGATCGATCGTTAATACACAAAAAATAAAAACAAGGTGCATCCATTTAGTGAAACAAGCCATAAATTAGCAAAAGGTATGCGTAATACACATAAGAGTGATGATGATACAGGCCCAAAAATTAGCCACTTTATATGGACAGAGTGTTGTGTGCTTGTGAAAGTGAACGCAACCTTTTCAGAATTTAAAAAGCAAAAACTAACATTAAAAGTGTTCAATTGCATAAAAAATGTGTTATAAATACAACAAGCACAAATGATATTTAAACAAAAGGAAAATAATTTTTGTGACTTTTTAACTTTGAAATATGGTTTTACATTTGTTACTCTTGTTAATATTGGAATGATTAAAAACCAGTTTTGGGCATTCTAAGATATAATCCAGATTGGTATTTTTTTAATTTGGTTTATATTTTAATGTTAATTGCTGAACCTTAAAATTAGCATATAATTCTAATTGATACAAATTTGGGTAAGATAATTAAGAAAGACTTGTTTAATCATTGTAAGAACTTGATGCAACAGATAAACTTTTTGAAAGCAACTAAAAATAAATTTCGATTAACAAATTTTGATTATCTATTAAATATTTAATTAAAGCCTTTGATTAGTTATAATATATGTTTTTATTTTTCCGTATACTATTTCACATATAGTTATATGCGATCGAATGTCTTCAGTTTACTTCAACTGCATTTCGGGTATTATCCAAGTAGGAACTCTTTGCGATCTACAATACGCTTCCTACGTTTTCTGCGATCATGGAGATATACTTTCGACACAACCCGGCCATGTCCCCATGGCTTCCCATTTCTCTTGTCGCTGGTCAAGAGTCTTCAGCACTTTGTTCAATTGAAATTTTTGTAAATTTACTTTCTGCGATTGTTGCCGTTTGGCTTCGGCACTCGTATATCGGTGTGTCGCTCGGCTTTGGCTCACTTTGGCAGCTTTCTTGCATAATAAACAAGATCAGGCTCAGCACACAATGTGCAACATTAGGCCAATGTTGGTACGTGGACACACTCCTCCGGGCGGAGGGAGGAGGGAGGAGGGGCGGGGGGAGTGACAGGGGCAGGGGCAGGGGCTGGGAGGGGGCTACCTGAGTGGGGCATGGGGACAATCATGGACAGCGGGCGCTAAACTGCTAAGAAAACAAAAAGCGAAAAGCAGCAGGCAAAGCACACTGGAAAAATTTCTATCTGGCTATATATACATGAGAAAAATTATATTATTTAACAAAAAAGTTTCCATTAGAAGTTCCCCATTTAGATATAAAAAAAACCTAGAAAATACTTGATAAAAACTTTGGTAAAATTACCTGTATATTATTATTTCCTTCTTTACTTTCTTACTTAGTGTTTGCTTGATAGCTATTTATATTATGTTTATTTAAAATGTGTTAATATAACATTTTTAATAACACAAAAAAACATTACATTTTATCGAAACGTTTTTTTTAACTAGAAGGTAGAATTACAATAGCCATCTTTTCCCCAAGAATATAATTTGAAATCAAAAATAACAGGTTGAAATGGTATGATTCAATATATGTGTTATTGACAAAAAGATTTTTCAAACTGATCAAAATTTGAACTTTCATCTTTGATGGGTCTAATAGTATTAGGTCCAGAAAGGTCTTAACATTCTTGTGCAAACATTTAAATAGTTTAATGACTCCTGAAACAGATAAGGGTTTTCCTCGGGTACCAGCTGATTGTCAGCTGTTTGAAACAGTGTGACCTTGCTTTTAATTAAAGCAGTTTTGTATATATTTTTTAAAAAACACTTTAATCTTAATTACACCTTACATATTTACATATTAATTTCTCTTATTTATTTTAATTAAATGTTACATTTTTTAAAAGATAAAAACGACATATATTTGATAGGCTGCTGAATTCTCAGTTTGTTTTAAAACAGCGGTCTGCTTTGCCTCTGCCGGCACACGTACAGCGTACAACAGCAGTCGTCAAACACACATTGATAAGCTTCCCCCTTGCAAATTACTCAAACAAATAAAAGACATAATGTCATTCTAAAACATTTTGGTTCACTAATTGAATTCTTAAACATTTTTTCAAAATTCCTTAAAGTTTTGCAAGTTTTTCTCGCTGTGCGACGGCAACATGCACCGAAACAAGCGATGTCGGTGGCTACTTTTGCTCTCGTTTCGACTGCTGCGTGAGGCACATGGATAACTGGATAACTTGGACAGTTTCCCGTTACCACTGGCGGCCCGTCCCGCTCGATCCCCGTCTCCCTCGCACCCCATCGCCCCTCTCTTTTTCTCTGGTCGTGTTCGTTGTGAACCTGCCACAGCGACAACAACGAAAAAAACCACCGAAAATAAATCGCCAACCGCAAAAGTTTGCAAACTTTTTTAACTTCACAATAAATACAACAAGAAAAAAAATTGTTGCTCCATTTCGGAGATCAGCGAACCCTTTTTGTCTTTGTTTTCGATTTGAATATACATATATTAAAGTCAAGCGATCGATACAGTAAAACTTAGTTATGAACAAAAATCACTATGCAACAAAGTCCAAAAATATCCTTGCAAAATTGAGTCAAAACAAACTGTTTTAAAAATATATTTCGAAAATTTACGAAATAGTCAGGTTTTATTTTTCTTTACTTAGATTTTATTTTCTTACTGAACCGATAAAAAATCTGATCTTTATCTAGAAAACTTTATTTAAAACCTATAGAAAGGATGTTTTAAAAAGCTGATAATAGAGTTTTGGGTATAAATTCCTCACTTACATCAGCACTAAGTGTATTTCCTTGAGCAGGATTTAAGTATTTAATGAGCTGAAGTTTAGTAAGGAGTCGAGCTTGGTATGACCTCCTTCTGGAGCCTTCCAACCAGCAGTCAATCTGATGAGATGCGATGAGATTGGAGTAGAAGTACCGCCAGATTTGATGGGCCCCGAAACGGGGGGTCGGGGGATCCCCATAATTTGTTGGTCTTGTAAATGCGGACGCGTGGCACGAGTCGAGTGCGATCAAATCCCCAAGTCGGTCCAACCATAATTGCCGGCACTCACACACGAGGGAAAGAGTTCCATCAGCCACTCGAGGAGTCGTAAGTCCCCGATCGCAAATCGCAAGTCGAGAGTTGAGAGTCTCCAGTCCAGAGCGCTGGCGACTTTGGGCCAACTTAAAGCCACAGACAAAGCCAAAAAGTCCCGGCTCAACGTCGTGCCCAGCGATCTGCATTGTTTGGCAAATTTGTAAGCCAAAACTTATTGCAAACTTTATTTTTTTCGCTGTCTGCGCGGCTATTGCTGCCTTACATACCCTTGCAAAAGGTATAACAAGTCTGTGAATAAGTTAAATGATTTGATCATGGAAATATATAGGTGTTATAAGTTGTTCTTCAAACAATTAGAATTCTATAATTATTTTCAAGTTCTTTGTTACTTTACTTAATTTTGTGTATGGTCTTTCATGTAATTTAAGTTAAATTTGTTAGGGTATTTCCAGCTTCCATTCTTGTTTTTTTTTGTTCAACTTCATTTTTAGTTGCTTTCTGCCTTTTTGGCCAAAAGACGACGACGACAACAGCTTCTTGTAATTATGGCGAGAGCCTCGAGTGGCGGACACCTTGGCCATGTTTATCTTGTGGCAACTCCGACTCTGGGCCCTCGGCCAAAAGATAAGCTTCGCCCACATGCCACAAAGTGTCGGTGTTGAGTGCTCGCATCTCCGAAATGCCACTGCAAGATGACAAAGTGCCACATCCAGGCAGCGGCAGCCATAATGGTAGCAAAACAAAAGATTGGGTAACTCAAGGGGTAAAATGGAGCTTTTTGACCGTAGGATATGCAGTCAAGTTAACTGGAAGGTTTTCATTTTGTTTTAAAATTTAAGTTTTACGAACTTATATTAAGGAACATTAAATTCGAGTAGGTTAACAATAAATGGCGCCCAACGTGGGGTCATGCAAAAGCACTGCTTAACATTTTTGGAAAGCTAATTAAAGGGACGAATGATTTGAATTGGGAATTTAGAAGATCAAATCATTCTGTTCAAAAAATGTAATTAAAGCAATTGATATATTGCTCAACTTAAGTTGGTTAACAATAAATGGCGCCCAACGTGGGAAAATGTAAATAGTTTAGATTTGCAAAAAGGAAAATGTAATCATTAAGATATTTTGCATACATTTCAAACCCACTTTTAGACTTGTTATATGAGAAGGTGGCATATGTAGGAAAATTTAATTTTCCTCCCACATTTTCCGATCCACCCAACCCAATGGGTAGCTTACATTTTAATTAGCGGATTGCGCAATATGCGATACAAATCAGTCAGCCACCCACATGTGTTCGATGGTGGGATGCCTCATTTATGGCTCGCGCCCCGTTTTGGGCAACTTCAAAGGGTAACCGCAGGCGAAATCACTGCACCACCGCACTACCGTACCACTGCACCACTGCACCACCGAACCATCGAACAGCGATTCGAAAAGTAAAACATTTAGTGGGCAAAAGTTTAATTAAAGCAAGGCGCAAGGCATGTTCGGCTAAATGAACCTTGGAAAGAATTTCCATGGCGCAACCATGGGCAACAACAACCACTCAAGCGCGTCATTTGGTTTATCAATTTTGTTGCCGCGTTGCTGCCGTTTTGCGCAATTGCATTTTCAGAGGCACCAAGTTGTGTTTTTCTTTTTATTTTTCTTTTCAAACACCAGCACTCGCCTCGGCCCAGTCGATTCTCCCATCAATTCTCCAGGCCCCCCATGACTCACGAGAAGAAATATCTAGCAAAAAGTAGAGCAACAGCCACAGCCAACGTGCACCACATGTGCAACGCCCACTGGGTGTGGAGACGTCCGATTCCGATGCTGGATGGCCATGCCTATGCCTTCAAGTTGGCAAAACAATTTGCTATTAGCCGTTTTGCTGTTTGCTGTTTGCCATTTGATTTGCTTTGGCAGCTTTTCATTTGCAACCCGCTGATGACAACAAATCATGACAATGCTCAAGGTACAATGTCAAGACCTCGCGCCACATGCTTCGAAAACTATAGCATTTAAGTCCCCGCAAACTGGCGTGGGTCAAGCTGAGAA